TGTTCTGGCTAGAAAAAAAAATCAAGAATCTCGTCTATCTCCAGCCAAGCGACAAACGAAAAAAATGGGAAAAAACAAAGATATCAAAAAAGAAATTATTATTTTTTTCTCTTTCGTTTGAAGTCCAAGATTCTAATCATAAATTGTTATCGATAACAGCAGAGATATAAAGAGAGTGATAAGAAGAAGAAATAAAAAAACGAAAGAAAGAAGGAAAGAAAAACGTTTATTGACAATGATCTTCACATACTAATACTTGTCGATGATAATGATTATAATGGGGGGTGAGTAAATGATTATTACCAGGTCCAAATAATAATAAGAAAAAAAATTGATAATTGTTAAAATAAGCCTGTACAGATATGGATAAAAGCCACAATATTATCTATCGAAAGTGAATGAAATAGTATTTTTTTTATAGATTTTGTCCTTGAATTCAACGGATGAATCAAAAGGCCAGAGAACTCAAAATAACGGAGATTCATATGCAACAACATATACATCAATTTGATGACGACTACAGAAAGAAGATGATTCTTTGAAGAAAAAAAAAAATATAGAAATAATAAAATGAGTTGAAAAGTAATGTTTAAAATAAAACACGTAAAACTAGTCTACAGCGATAGGATTCTTCCATTCTGGCTTTCATTGTGTGTATTACAGAGAATCGCTGATTGCATCCTTTCTTTGATATTCGTTTGTATTATCAATGAGTTTCATAACTATAGACATGGTTTGTTTCATTTGAAAAACATGCGCATCATATATTCTTGATGCGGCGTTCCATACTTTCTCTCTCTCACTCCATTCTTTATCTTCTTTTTTTGCTCTATTGGATTTTACATGCAATAACTACATGTGATAAATAAGCTAGCCAGAATATGAACAACAACAACAACAGCAAAAATTAATGGCTTTGAATCAATTTAAACCAAAAAAAAACTTTACCGATAGACATAGACAGCAATATATATAAAGAAACACACAGAATATTTCAAGAATAAGCAAAAGTAACAAACAAAAATAACAAAAAAATAATAATAAAGGGAAAATGGAAACGAAATTTAAAAAATATAAAAAAATATGAGTTTTAAAAGAAATTTGTTTTTGGAAACTTTAGAGAAAAAAGGGACAAAGAAGAAGACCAAAAGAATTTTGGAATTCAAAATTTCAAATTCAAAACTATTGTCTCGGTATATATGTGTGTGTTTTTTAAACTCAAGGGTATTTTGACTGATAGGATTGATAAATAAACAGAATAATTCACACAGCACAGCAAATGGCATTATTTTCAGATACATTTTTTTTGTACAACAACAAAAAAAAAATTCTGGAAAAGAATGTGTCAATCAGATCTTTGTTTTTGTTTTGTTCTTTTCAATATTTAAATAGTCTTTACATATATGTGACTGAGATATTTTGTCGTTCGTTTTATCAACATCATTTTCTTTTGTTTTTTTTTCAGTGCAATTTTTTTTTGTCAGACACAAGGATTAGTGAATTCAAAAATATGAGGAAATGGGAAAAAAATATGAATCATAATATGAATTCCTGCTTCTTCTTTTTTTTACTCATAAAAACAATTTCATCATCAGAATTTATTGTCAGAATCTATTAATGACAATATAATAAACCTGTCTAAATGTCTGATGATGATGATGATGATGATGATTTGAACATGAACAATGGTAGACACACTTTGGTTCATTCAAATATTTGGACATTGATATGAATGAAAATAATGATGATGATAATGATGATAATAAAATTTTCCTTTTCATATAACAAATCATAAGAATATTATAAACAAAACGAAGAAGAATCGATTCTTTATTTGTTAAGAGTTTTTCATTCATTATTTTTGTTCACTATTTTTATTTTTCGAACGGATGTTTCGTTGAATTGAATCAATAATAATGATGATGATAATATAATTATTTGTCAATCTAGATTTTTTCTGTGTATATGTTTATTTCACTTTGGAACAACAACAACAACAACAACAGAATAAATAGAATAAATGGTGACATTACAAGAAAAGATAAGTGCGAAAAAAAAGAAACTTATTTTTTTCTATTTCATTTTAACAAACTTTTTCTTTCTTCAAAAGGAAAAATTTTGTCAGTTTCTAAAATAGATAGACAGACATAATAAAAATAATCAATATATGTAGGAAATATAGCAGTGAAGCTGACATTTTTGTTTCATTATAATATCGAAAATCTCGATTAAAAAAAGGTGACCATAATCTACGATGATAATAACAAATTTATCCCTATAGTGTCCAGTTAATTTACATTTAAAATTCAAAGAATTAGAAGAAAAAAAAAACGTTAACCCTTGGTTTTAACTTGTTTTGTTTTAATAGTCGAAAAAAATAACGAATGATAAATGAATGGATGAATGAAAAAAGTTTTATTGTATATGACCAATACCGAATAATAATGATTATTATTATTATTAAAATTGTCCATGACCGAGAAAGTTTTCCGACAACAATAATGAAAATATTCTAGTCATGATTGTTAATTATCATGACCAGAATAAGTTAAAATAGTTTGGAACAACTTTATACAATTCATTCTGAGCATGTACCAATTCGAACAAAACACACACACACACAAACGACAGGAATCGAATAGGACAAATCAAAATTGAAATTATTATTTTTTTGAAAAAAATGCCTAAAACAGAATTTTCATTTTTTCTGAAAAAATGCTTTCACAACATGAAAAAAAACACACATACAGGAAAAAAAGATGGGAAAAAGAGATTTTTTTTTCATTCATTTGAATATATAATAATAATGAAAAAAAAAATGAAAATTAATTTCCAACTTTCACACACACACAAACAAACACAGCATTTCTGAAATATATTTTATATTCAAATATTTGTGAAACGAATAAATGAATGAAGAAGAAGTAGAAGAAAAAAATTCTGCTCCTAATGCTATTCTTTTATTTATTTATTTATTTATATTTTTCCATATAGGAATCACATTTACTGAACCAAAAATGGATGGATGCTATTAGAAATTGAATAACAGAGGTACGATGATGAGGTTGACAGATGTCATCATACATGCATGCATAGAAACATGAATTTTGTATACGAAAGAATTCATTTGTCGAATCGAAATGAATTTTTTTTTGTTGAAAATGGAAATGATGATGATTATGAAATACAACAAAAACGACCATTACGAATGAAATGAATTGCTTTTTTAATTAAAAAAATTACTATCATTATTGTTTGCTACAAATAAAAAAATAACATCGCATTGCTTTTTTTTGCCAGGCGTCAGCAAAATCAACCAATTTTTTTTTTGGTTGTTGTTGAATGATGAATTCTTGAATGAATGAATGAATGAATAAAAGGAAACAACAAAAAGCAAGGAAAAATAAATTCATTCGATTCTGATTGGATACAAAATAAAAATTAATACAACATGTAATGTTATTTGTCAATACAATTTTCAAATTTAATGAAATCAGGTTCCAATCAAATCTTCGTCGTCAGGTTTTTTTTTCTGTTGAAGAAACAGAAAGAGAAAAAAGTTCAAATTAAAAGGAAATCGATTTTTTTTTTGTTTGGTTGCTTGGTTAGCTTATTGCCGGCAATTCAAATCATATCTATTGAAAAAATGATGATAAGCCACCATATGGTGAGAAACAATGAATGAATGAATGAATGAATGAATCTGTTTGTGATTTACCTTGATGATGGAAACAAAAACTTGAAAATGAAACAAAATGTTATAAATTAATAATTTTTTTTTGGTAATATCTAGCAATGGTAAAGTTTTTTTCTCATTTTTTTTTTGTTGTTGTTGTTGCTTTGATGGCCACAATGATCTTCTAATATACGAATATACGAATATATATCGTTGCAAAACAAAACAAAACAAAAAAGTTTAATACAATTTCAATATGCTCGGTCGTCAACCGAATATAATCATTTTATTTGATTCAAAAAATCTAATTGAACCAATAGTAAAGCTGTATAGTTAGTAATAATAATAATGATTTAGAAAACTTGAATTCTGATCATTTCCAAATGATTATGGTCTAGTAATTTTGATTGAGATTTTTTTCTTGAACAAAAATATTTAAGTGAGAAAACTATTTTCCCCTTTGTTCAAACAGTTATATAAAAGAAATTAATGAAAAGCATCTAAATTTTTATTATAATACACACACACACAATACATCTCATCAAACGACTAAACTTTTTCCTTTCAGCCACCAATATTTACGAATGAATTGAACGAATATATATTGTGTGTGTCCACTTGAATGAATTTTGATGGCGATAAAAAAAATCCTTTTTTTTTTTGGTTTTTGTTTATAAAGTTTTAGATCAATCATCATTGATTATATGCGAATGCCATGTGTAAACGCTATAAAGAATTGAAAAAAAAGGTGGCTGATGATGATCATATTTCAAGCAATTTAAAAGAATATAGAATTTTTGTTAGTTCAAGATTTATTTTCACATGTGTGTGTATGTGATTTTTTTAAAAAAATGTAATTTTCATCAATTTTTTTTTTGAAAACTCAGCTTTACTCGAGTATTTTGAACAAATTCATTTTTTTGTTTGTTCAATCGATTTTTATTATTGTCAGCAATTTTTTTTTTGTTTTTTATAATTTTTGCATCATTCACACATTTTGGTGTGTGTGTGTGTGTGTGGTAGTTCCTTCTCCCTTAAGTTATTGAATGGCCTGAAATTATTATTTTTTTTTTGTTGAAATTTTATATTTATCTTTTAATATTCATGATTTTTCTATTTGATTTTTGTTTTTGTTTTTCTTGAAAATCTTTTCGAACCAAAAAAAAAAAAACGGTGAAATACAGGATCATAATGTCATGTCATTTTTATATGAACGAAATAAGTTTTCCACTTTTTTGCATTTTTGTTCGAACAACAATAATAATCGCAATAAAATTCTCGAACTTATAGAATTTTTCATTGTTCGACTATTATAATAATAATAATAACGACCATATATTGAAACCATTATGTGTGGCATCATTTTGACATTTTTTTTTATTATTTTATTTTAAAATTTTGCAACATTTCTTTCAAATACTTTGCCAATATTACTGTGTGTATTATATTCTTTTGTGAGTAATATTTAATATTATGACAAGTTATATTTATGAAAAAAATCCTTTTTTTCTTCTATCTTTTTTCTGTTTAGCAGTAAAAGAAGCAGTCAATTTTTAGTGAAATCAAACTTGGCTGGTTGTTTAGCGATTCCATTTTTTTTTCTTTTTTGTTGCTCCATCATTGGTGTTGTATTGCATTGTTCTTTCTTTCACTCCGGAATACATCGGCATGTCTGATATAAAAATGTTTTCAACGATAAAGACTACTACATGGGCGGTAATTTTAATGGCCTCGTTATGGTTCTGGTCTGGTCCATTTTGTTGTTATGGTTATTCGGCCAAATACGATAGTAAAAGCGACAATAATAACGATCAAGATTTAAATATCCATCATTATGAAATTGAAAGAGTAAAAAGTGCCGTTAGTGCAAAATGGTCGGATGTTGAAAAGATTGTATCGAGTAAAAAATTTCAAAATGATGATGACCGTATTGAGATTAACATTTTCCTATTGATATTAAATCCTAATGTTAAAAACTTTCCTAAACAACAAAAACGGATGTCAAAACATCAAAAAAACAAAAAACTTACTGGCCACGATGATAATGATCATAAGATCATCTCACAATTTCAATATTCGGCCTTACATTTCCATTTGATTACCGACGAATATAATTTGATCAAGGATAATGATGTTGGCAAGAAAAAGTTATTTCACTTTATTGTTATCAATAATGATGATGGGAATAGCCCTCATAGACAATATAACAAAATGTTCAATTATTTACGTCAGCATTCGGCTATTGAAGAACGAACAATTATTGATAAATGGCAATTGGAACGCCATCCTTTCATGTTAGTTAAGTTGTCCAATAAACCCCGTGGTGCCAATGTTCAAATTATGAAAAATTTTGATAAACCACATGCAATTATGATGATATTCTGGTTTGGCAAGGTAACTCATCTTCCATTGCTTAGATATACTGGAATTGGACACAACCAACTATCCAACACGGTCAACATTTTGATTATTTTAATTTCATTGATATCGTTCATAATGGATCAACGTAGAAAACGACCATATCTTCAACAATTCACTTCGTTGCCTGCTTTATTATTTCCGATTGGTTTTGTTTGGAGTCAGATTCACGGTGATTCAGATAAGAATGGACAAAATTTATTTGGATCAATTATTAGCTTTAGTCTCAATTCTTCTGCACAATTTTTATCGGAAAGTTTTTTAATAATGACAGTTAATTTTACTTTTTCCTATTGCCTTTATGTATACACTCAATTGATTTCAAATGACTATAAGAAATTGAAACCTGATGCATCTGATCAATCTCCTAAAAGAAAACAAGATGGAAAAATCAATATTAAGAATAATAATGATAATAATCGTTATGCAACTTGCATGCTTCTTTTTATGGGTGGATCATTTTTTATTGTCAATTTGATTTTTAGATTGAAATTGAATAGATAAAAATCTAAAGTTGTTATTTTTTTAAAAAAATTAAAACTATGGATGATAAAAATTGTTACAATGTTCATACAAAAATTTAATTACAATACAACATCTAATAGAAATTTGCTTTTTAAAAAAATGATTCTCGATCAGAATTATCAGCACAAAAAAAAAATCTTTCTTCAATAATTATGTTGATAGTGTGCAGACCATATTTATCCCAAATACATAATTTTCATAAAAATCGATAATTTGATTGAATTTTTTTTCTGTTGTTGAAATTCTCTATATCACTAAAACAAACGAGATCAAATTCAAAATTTATTGATTTTTTTTCTTGATCTATCTTTCTCTCGCTATCGTTTTTTTTCTAATGAATTCATTTATATTCGAGGATAATACCAAACAAAACAAAGAAAAAAAAGCGCACGCACATTTATTAATGTGTTTAAAAGAGAAAAATTCGTGATTTGCATCCCATTTCAATCATCGAATCATTTTCCTTTTCTTTTTCACATATTTCATATTTCTTTATCTTTTATCAAATATTTTCAAAATGATGAAATGAAATTTATTGAATTCTTTAGTAGTATGTGGGTGTAAGTGTGTGTGCAAACATATCACACATACACACACACACACAAAACTTTAAAATCAAAATATAGTTATTCTTTAGGAAAAGAACGTTAGACAATTTTTTTTTGTAACTGAACAATCACAGAAAGAAAAATCAATATTATTGATTGACAATTTCAATGTTTGAAGTGTGATTATTATTATTATTATTATTGTATATACGTAATTCAACATTGAAAACATCTATACAGAATTTAATAGCTAAAAAAATCTCTCTTTAGCTATTTCATTTCATAAATTGTTGTCGTTTGGAGAAAAAAAAGTAAAATTTGAAAATCTTTTCAAACAAAAACTTCTTGAAAAAGAATTGGTAATGGAAAAAAAGGTGGTTTATCTTCATCATCGTTTTAGAAACGAAAAAAGAATCAAAATAATTTTGCTAAAATAAAAAAAAAGGTAAACATTAATTTGATTTTTTTTTCATAATTTCAAACATCGAAAGATATATTTATTTCGTTAAGTTACATGGCCAAACTGATGATGGTGATTATCATTATTTTTTAGTTTTTTATCATTTAGGCTTTTTTGTATATTCCTGATCCAATAATATTAATGATAATGATGCTTGATGGTTGCCTTTTTAGAGAGATGGAGAAAAAAAAACTTATTATCGCTGTCTGTGTGTATGCGTGTGTATCTCAAGAAAATCGAGTTAGCCAATTCAGAATATGGAACATACTTTTTTTTTCGTTGGTCTTTCTAAATTCAATGTGTTTGGATATTTGTATTTTTGTGTATGTATATGGTTTCCAAAAAAAAAGTTTTTTCGCGTGAACAGAATATAACGATCATTACATCCTAAGGAATTTTCGTTTTCAATGCAATGTTTTTTTCTGTGTTTCTGGATATATTTATTTTCTGTTGCCTGGTTGTTGTTGTTGTTATTAATATTATTATTTGGTATATTTGCTTATTATTAGCATCACAAAAAAAACGTCGAAAATAGATTAAACTAAACGGTCACATACACATACACATTCTGTATGTATGTTTGTGTGCCTGATTGACTGGTTCAATCCTCCCAAAAGCTTTTCAATTTACCAAAATATAACCAAAGAATTTTCTTAGTTTTTTTCCTACTCTGTATATTCTCTATATAAGTTTGTCAAACATTTTATTCATATTGGCATTTTTCTTTTCTTTTCTTTTCCTATCAATATTTGTTTCAATTTTGTGATTTTTCAATATAATGTCATATCAATTTATTTTTTGTTATTTGCTATTACTTTACCAAAATTTGAATTTCTGATTAGTATTATTATTGAAAAAGATTTCTTCATCTCAATTTCTCAAATGATGAAAAACACATTGATGATTGAATCTTTGTTTTTTTTGTTTTTGTTTTGTAATCGATCGTATAGATAAAGCACATCGAATCCAAATAATAATGAATTTCACAAGTTAATACTTGTTTGTTTGTTTGTTTGTTTGATTTTGTAATCATCATCATCGTTAATTGTGAAAATCCTTATATCTGGTGTTTGACAATTTCTAGACTTTTCTATGGCCACTTGTATTTGAAGAATCACATAATTGATACTTTTTATCATTAGTTAAAATTGATTAAAATAAAAGATTTTTTTTCTTCTTAATTTCATTTTGACCTTTATTTTCAATATTGATACTAATGTTATTTTTATAAAATTATTCTACCAAAAGAAAAAACTCATCATTAATTCAATAGAATTCAATTTATTTTCCATTTCTTCTCTCACTCTCTTTTTGTCGATTTATATTTCTTATTCGTTATAATTGAATGTGTCTGTTATTCTCGAATTTTCAAATTTTTTTTTTTGAAAGGCCGTACCAGATTTCTTTTTTACCTTTACATTCAATTTATTTTGATTTCACCATAACAAACATACCTATACGAATTACATGATTATTTGCAATCACATCAAAAAGGAAACAAAATTAAATTCTTTGCCATAGTGATGATAATTTTTTCTTTCTTTCTTTTCAATATATCCGATTTTCTCAATGTCGATTTATGTATCATTTTTATATCCAGTATTCTTTTTCCAGTTGTTCAGACTGAATAAAAGTCGATTGATGTAAGTAATCATAAAATATATGTTAAGCAAGTGTTTTTTCCCTCTCTTCCTTCTTACTTACTTAATAATAGATCCATTGAAATTGAATTTTGATTTAGATTTTCCATTTTCTTTTTTTCTTCTTCTTTTATTTATTCGTTTCATTTCTTTTTTTTGCAGTTCGAAAGCCGAGAATTCATCATCAACGAATAATAATGAAATCAATGGATCGGATATCCCTACACAAAGCAGCCATTTTTTTTCTCGGATGAATCTGAAATGCAACAAAAACTGAATTGTATAGATGGAATTTTGAAGCTAAAATTGAAATTTTCCGAATAAAATGTTGTTTGAATATAATGAAATTTAAATTTTCAAATAACAAAAAAAAAGAAAAGAAAAATCCGAATTCTATGGAAATAAATCTATGTTTGTTTGTTTGTATATAAATTTTATGTAAAATGGAATTAAAATTATATATGATTAATAAATTGAATTCATTCATTCTCGATTCTGATTATTTTTTTTTTATAAATATGTTTGGTTACTTCTTCTTCTTCTCCTTCTTCGTTTTCACTGTATTCTACACAAATATAACGGTTGTTGTAAATGGTTGGCCAAAAAATTGCCATGGTAGAAAATTGGCTTGAAATTTTTTACTCTCTCTCACTTTCTATAATCCTGTTTCCGGAATATCAACTTTTTTTTTCTCCCTATTCCATTCATAATGATGATGATAACCATATACTTTAACTTTTAATGTCATTCTATTTATTATCATTTGTGGTCGAAATTTTTTTTCCATTTCATTTCATTTTTCTTTTTTTTGGTTGGTTTGTTTATATGTGGCAAAAAATTTTGTTTTTAATCCTACACATGAATTCTGATTATGAATTTTTATTTTTGAAAGAAAAAAAGTTAGATAGAAAGTTGTTTAATATGAAATGGATTTTTAGCCATCTCCTTTTTTTCATATATATATTAAATGTATATAATGATAGTTTTGAATGTATTTAAAACACACACAAACGAAACTGATGTGATGAAACAAGCCATTTTTTTCGAGAACAAATAGTGAGAGTGATCCAATTTCTTTTTTTTTCTCGTTTACATTATTATTATTATTATTTTTGATGGTTGATTACATTGGGGTTAGTTTTTGCCTTCTTTTTCTTCTTCTTCTCTGTCTGTTTGAATAGACCACTCAATGCTTTTTTACTATTGAGATTAACTAATAAATAATTCTGATTTTATTTTCGGTACGAAAAACTACGTTACTCGTTCATTCTTCAATTTCATTTGCTTTTAAAATCAAGATTCTGGGGGCAATCCAAAATGAACGCAAACTAAAATTAAAGTTTATCGAAAATAAAAATTTCTCTCTCTCTCACTCTTTTTTTTCTCTCCCAATGTAAACCAAATTACGAAGTAGATAAGAAATTTTTTTTTTGGGAAAGAATGAGTTTTTCTTTTTTGCAAGATTATTGAAGCAAAAGAAAAACGAAAAAAATAGAGATAGTGCTTGGTTTTGTGTCCATTAATTCATTGCACAAAGAATTGCTTAATATATCTTTTCAATCTATTTTGCCTGAATGATTTGAATATATAAAAAAAATTAACTTTTACCAAAAAAAAGAAAAAAAGAAAAATTAGACCAACAATGACAACAATAAAATAAATCTATTCGCATTGCCCTTTTTGTTTCACATAAATAAGGTGAGATTAGAAAATAAGTATTAAAAGAGAAGATTGTAATGCTACATAGTGCTCCATATGTATGTGTACTGTTTTTTTTTTTGACATGATAATCAAATTATCTATCCTTCTTCATCATCATAATCAACGTTGTCATTTGTCGTCGTTCGTTGTTCTTCGTTCCTTCGTTTGTTCGTTCGTTCATCGTCATGACACATCATAAAACATTTGTTTCACGATTTACTTATTTGCTATAACTTTGTTGTTGCTGTTGGAGAGAATTCTATAGTCAGAATTTCAACACAAAGACAACAACAAAAAAAAGCGCATTAATATAAAAAACAGAGGCCATACATAATTCAATTTAGTATAAAAAAAATAGAAAGAATATTCTTGTCCTGAATCCCAAATAATCATTCATTGGTTGAACTGAATTATATTAGAACAAAAAAGGAAAGATGGATGTGTTCGGATGATGATAATAAACATTTAAATTTTAAATTTTGTTCTTTTTTGTTTGGTAATTTAAAAACTCTAATTTTGTTTTCTTCACCTGTACAATATCCAATCAATATGACTGTTGATTGATTGATTGGATTTATTTTACCAATTTAATAAGATGTTAGCCTTTTTTCTGCACATTCACTATATTGCACAGGAAATTTTTTTAAATTTATATGCAAACAAACAAAAATAATGAATTCAATGTTTTTCAAATGTTCAAATGTCCCGTTGTGTATTTGTTGGAGACATTTCTATATATTGGTTGTATTGGTACTTGAAATTTTTCAATAATAAATGTTTATTATGAAAAAAGCAAATGACTAGAATGACATATTTCTATTCTTCCATCTTTTTTTTCAAACATCTATTCACATTTGTAAATATTTCGATTTGTCGATCGATGGTTGTTTATTTACATTATCATTTAAACAAGTGATGAAATCAATGAAAGATCAAAAGTAAAGAACGATGATAGAGATGATGATGATGATGATATGACAGATAAATATGAAGAGCTACAATTTATTTGCCTAGAATGGATACATAGTATCAAAGAAAGAAATTTCACCAAAGAATAAAATTTGAAACAAGTGAAAACATGAATAATAATAACAAAACAAAAAAAAAGTGATAGGAAATTCCATAGTAACAAATAGTGTAGTAAGATTTGACATACAAATAATGATTGTTTTTCACTTTTTGTTTTCCTTTCACTTTTGTTTTCTTTCTTTCTCACTTTTGTATCAATTCTTATTCGATATCAATATCATCCATCCAGTTATGTTGCTTTATTCTGTCAAAAAAAACGAAACAAAACAGAAAAAATGATAAAACAACATGAATATTTTGTTTTTGCATTCTTTTGGCTGACATTTTTTTTGTTCATGTTTCCTCATCGTAAAAAAATACCATTTTAAGAAAGAAAGAAATAAAAAAAAAAAATGTTTCAGATTTTCATTTTTTTCCATTTTCTTTTTCTTACAACAATTTCAACCAAAATAACGAACAAGAATTTCTTTCATAATATATTTATATAATATCGATAGTCTTGGTAAACAACCCGATGATAATGATGATGATCTTGAGAAACGAAAAAGGAAAAATAACAATGACAATAACCTTCGAAAGAAAGAAAGAAAAAAAAATGTTATTGTCATCATCAATGTTATGTTCACAACTCATAAACATCCTTCATTTATAATAACATATAACAATCGAACACACACACACACACATATATAACATCAATTCTTACAAATAAAGCTTGTAAGAATGTAACACCAACAATAACAACAACAAATATAAAACAAAACTGACAAGACAAATGAATCTTTTTTTCCACACACACACACACACATAGAGTTTGAAGTCATTTGGGTTAGGATTTTTACAAGTTATTATTACAACATCTTACAACGTAAAGAAAGAAAGAAACAAAAATGGAAATTTCACATGACAAACAAAGGGGAAAAAGTTTCGACTTGAAAATCCGATTGATCATAATCTTTATTTAAGGTAAAAAAATTCGAGAAAATTCGTTGCAAGCTAAGCAACGATACTATCGATAAAAACCAATTTCATTGACAATTTTCAATATTATTATTATTATTATTTTTGCTGACTAAATCGATTGAAAAAAAGAAAAATACCTATCAACAATATCCAACTTTGTAATATTTTATTTTATTTTTGTTCGGTATTTTGGTTTTGTTGTTGTTATTGCAAAAAAATAAGACCAAACAAACAAACAAACAAAAAGGGAATGAGAGAAATAAATAAATGAAAAATTTAACGTCTCATTAATCTTTTCTATCGGTAAATTCTTGTTGTTAATTCTTTCTTTCTTTCTTTCACTGAATGTAAAACAAAAAAAAAGTGTAAAGAATTTTTTTTATTGCTACTATTATTATCATCATCACCGTTTTTTTTCTTTTTAAAAAAACTATTAAATGGTACTATTCAAGAATGAAAATCTTTTTTTTCACAAGAATAGTGACATCATATGGTCCGAATGTTTTTTGAGAATGAAAAAAAACCGTGAAAAATGACTAAACAGGAATATATTAGAAGACCACCACCACCACAAAACCCAATTCATTTGTTATCATAAAAATTCTTTAGACCAAGTTAAAAAGAATAAGAAAATGAAGAAATAAAGGGAAAGGGAATCTTGAAATTGGCTTTTATCAATCAACCATTTCAGAATTTATATATTTAAAAAAAAGAATGGTATTTGTTTATGTGTGTGTGTGTGTGTGTGTGTATGTGTGAATAGATTGCTAAAAGAAAGAACGAAAAAAAAAATTCTGCATTCAACAATCGTCGTTCACAAATGGAATCCTAATGATTGCGACAGTATCTCTCTCTCCATTGATGTCAGTAGTCAAATACATTGAAAAATGGCCATCATAATCAAGCGAACTGCATTGGTTAAATTGCCAATTGCAAATTCAATTCTTGTTACAGAATCTTGTTTTTTTTTTGTTTTTATATTATACGAAAGGCATCAATTTGCATAACATTTTCTTGGTCGCACATTTTATTTTTCTTTGATCAAGTTTTCTTTTCTTTTTTTTCAAAATCTACTTATATTCATTATATGATGAGAATCCTAATATAACAACAACAACCAAACAAAAGACAGAAATTACACGAAAATTTCATTTTACATTTGCAGCTGTTAAAAATTCCATTACATTGAAATTATAAGTGCATATACGAATTGAGATATACAGAAGAACAAAAAAAGATGTGTCAAAAACAGGATAAACAGGATTTTTAATTTTCAAAACAAAATACACACACAGGAAACGGAAATTCTAGCCTCTTATTTTTTTTGTTGTGTATCATATGTCCAATTCAGAATAATGATAATGACAATGTGTGTGTGTGTGTAATGCAAAATAAATAAACAAACAAACACTATACTTGACAATCGTATTCATTTTGTTTCTAATAAAAAAAAAATCCCATGGATTTTCAACATTTCCCTTTTTTTTTTGTTTTTCTACTGTATCCATCATATTGTAAACAAATGCAATTGCAAGCTACCATGATGATGATCATCATTCTCATCCAAAAAGAGGATTGCTGTGTCCAATTCTCAATTTGAACAACAAATCTGGCATCTCAATTAACTTTTTGTTTGTTTGTTTGTTTGTTTGTTTGTTTGTTTGTTTGTATGATGATGATATCCTTTTTAATTTTATATGTGTGTTTGGTGATATTAATATATATTCTTGTATGTAATTTTGTCATGAATGAAATCATTCATGTATAATATGAATCAAAACGAATCAACAACAACAAAATATAGAAATGTAAAAAAATATACAAATTTCAAATAGGTTGCATTATTTTTTTTTCTTCTTGCTGTTCCAATGAATTTGTGGTGATGCAATTTTGATTTTTTTTTCACTTGAATAAAATATATGTTGAATGATGATGACATGGTTGACGAAAGCTTATTAAACGCTAATTTAAATTCAAACTGTCAACATTGATTCGATTAATAATAATAATACTTCAGGCTTCAAAAATGTGGGCGTCTGTATTTGATTGCTTCATTCGACAATTTTTTTTCCTGGAAATAAACAACAAACATATGATTGAAATGTTTTAGCATAGTTTATTTATTGCCAAGAATAATTGACTCTCGTTTTTTTTGATCGAATACGAAACGAATAGAATTCATCGAGTTCGGTTCAAATTCGAACAATATCATTCCAAACATTCGAATTCAATGGAATATTTAAGGAAAAAATAATTTGTAACGACATCTAGCGACATTGTTTAAAGTTTTTTTAATTTTTAATTTTTTGATTTTCAAAAATATAAAATAAAAACTGTGATAATGATTCATTATGATGATATTATTTTTTTTTTTTGGCTCTCAATTTTGCTTTATCAAATTCATACAAGAATTAACAAAGACTTTCATTATAATGTGGACAATAAACAATTGGTGATGAATAACGATTTAACATTTGTTGTGTCATTGCTTCATATTGTTCCATGCTTACATGTATACATGGTGACATTCGATTACGCATCTGCATAATTGCATCCTGTACTTCGGCCGATATATCTTCTTTAAATCTTAAACGTTCTTTAATACGACGTCTAAGACCAATTTTCAATTGAAATATAAATAAGTAACCAGCCGAAGTAGCTAATAATAATAAAAGTATTAGACCAATATTTGAAATAAATGCCAATATACAGAATAATACAAAATTCACAATAGTAACAAATATAAGTATTGTTAGATTTTTTCTTATTACACCGATCAATCCAAGTACCTGATTCAATACTGTTACAAACAATAATGTCAATGCTATCACTTCGATTATTAGCATACGATTTTCATTTCCTGTTCTTTTATGATGATTTTTGTATCGATGTTTGTCATCGGAAATTATACCCAATCTTTGTCGATTTGTCTTCAATGATTCATCATCATTATTCGATCTACTACTACTGCTATAGAATATATCATCTTCTTCATTCAAATCTTGACGATCTTTTGTACGAGCATAATTATCAAAATTAGCAAATATTTTCGGATAAGATTTTAAATCATCATCATTATCAGGCTGATTCATTCTATCTGCTGAATCATATGTTGGTGGTTGTGATTTTGGCATCGGATATTGATGATAAAATTCATCAAGTAATGAAAGAAATGAACTACGATCACAATAATATATTTGCTCATGTTTTGATGATGATGGTCGATGATTGATCATACCGTAAGGACCATGTTGAACTTTACCAATATTAAATGTAGATGCTGAATGATAATTCTCCGAATCATAATTATTATTATCAAATGAATAATAATTTCCGTTTATAAGCTCATGTCGATGATGAACATCCAAAAACATTGAACCAATCGACATGTTCGAACCATAAAATATAAAATGTATAAACGTATTTATAATCAATGTAATCAATACTAATAGATAAATCATAAATAGATAATATCTTGCACAAGCATAATAACTTGTTAATACGGATAATTCTTCATTTTGTAATTGTTGTTGTCTTTGTTGTGGATTTATATTTATCATTGGTTGTTGTGATGATCCATTATTATTGATTCCTGTTGTTGCCATATTTGTATTTGATGTTGTTGATTTAGTTCGGCCAACATTTGATTTATTTGTTTTATTATCATTATTGTTTGTAACATTATTGGTCATAATATTAGGTGTTGATGATGATGCTGATGACATCATCATCAATACATTATTATTATTATTGAACGTGCTATTCGGCCGTGGTTTAGGCAATGGTGGTGGTAATGATGGTTCTTGATGTAACAATATTGATGATTTATTCACATCACTTTCTTTATAATCCTGACTAATTATAATCGGATCGATTGTTGATTGATTTGAAGTTGTTAACATTTGAAATCACTACTGCGTGAATAAAATTGGTTTTTTTTGAAATGATTAAAATAAACAATAATTGAAAACTTTACCCAAAATTGTATTTATTGTTTTTGATGTGTGTTTTAAACTTGGCGATGTCCTTAAGTGAATATCACATTAAATGATTAAGATGATGATGATGATGTCATTTTTTTTCTTACTTTAAGCATCTTTATTTTCCCTCTTTTGTTTGTTTGTTTGGTTGTTGATGATAATGTTGAATATTCAAACGAATAGTAGAATTTGTGCATACAACAACAACAACTGTTGCGCGGTAATTCGTCGTCGTCGTTGTGAATATTTTGTCATGCATAATAACGACAACAACAACAGCAGCAGCCGCCGCAGTAGAAATTCATGTCTCAATATATAATGATCATATTTAAGATGTTCCATTCCTGTTTTAAAAAAAAACCTTGCTAAATAGCTTAAAATTTCTAAAAATAGTACCCCCTTCTTATCCATTGATTATTACTTGAATACAAATCAAAACTTTGGTATTACGAATTTTTTTCGATTACCGATATTCAATTTATTTACAACTAGAAAAAAATTCATTCATTCATTAAGTTCAAACATATGTTCTGTTTCAAATGATTTTTTATTTTGTCTGAAATCGTTTTTTTTGTTGAGAATACAGGAAGTAAATTTTATTTCTTGATGTAATGATGATGTCGTTTTTTTATGAATGAATATATTATGATTACTTTTTCATGTTCATTATATGAATTCATTCTTTAATGCATAGCTATATTTAGATTCAAATGTTTTAATAGTGGTTGATTTTTTTCATTCATCCATTTACATCGCATTTATATACATCATCACGCACACAAACATAATGTTGTTGTCTTCTAGAAATTACCATTCAATAATTACATTGCTTTAATTCCTCGTTCGAAAGATTTCCATACGATTCTTTTCAATTCTAGCATTTGTTTGGAATGAAGAAGTGAAATGAAAAATGTTTTTATGTAATTTTCGAATCTTTTTTTTTCCGTTTGAGCATCCCTCAGCAGAAACTTTATAAAAAAAATTCTTTATTTCTGCCAAATTTATGCGTCTTCCATTTTATGTTGTTTGCATTATGTTTGTTTTATGAATCGTTTGCAAGCGTAAACACATATACAGCCAACCATTCACCATTATCATCAACATTTGAACTCTCACATCTGTATACAATAACATACGGGCATTAATAAATTGGCATAAGATGTTTTATCTTTCTATTTGATTCATTGATTTCAATCGATGAATAAATGATCGATCCGTACATTTTTTCAACGATAATTTATTTATTTATTGATCCCTATGATTGATGAAGAATATGATGAGAACGAATCAACGAACTACTGATTATGCATTGACGTCGTATTGTCATGATAGTGTCGAATCACCGTCACCAGCATCAGTTATCGGTGCTGAATATTCTCGACATTTACAACGAAATTTTTTCCAAATAATTAGCCGTAATTCAATGCCTTTTCAAATTGTCAAATATGTATTGCTCATTCTCAACATAATGATAGTTGCAACAACGGCCATTGTCACTATAATTGTATGTCTATTACCAACGATAATTTATGAAAAGAAATTAGCATTGGATAATGCTAGTGCTTTTCTAAGAACTGGAAATCTACAACAATTGAATTACAATCGGCGATCATTGGATGAAAATGAATTGATACAATTATCTACACAGGAAATCGATACGATCCGTTTGGTTCGATATTTCATCCTTGCATTATCATCATTAATTATACTGAATCAGACATTGGCTGTGTATGGTTTATTCAAAGAACGATCTTTTCACATATTGATTAGTACAGTAGTCATCGGATTGATTGGTCAACTAAGCTTGTTTGCATTACCGGCAAGCATATTCATTTTGATAACCATTCATTTAATTTTTAGTATAAGCTATGTAATTATATTAAATCATCTGAATCAGATGGCAAGTGATCCAAAAATACGTCAACAAGCAACATCAAGAGCACCATCAATAGAACCATCACAACGAACCTGTTGCTGTCGATGTAAATCCTGTCTATGTACAGTAACGACCAATCAATCCGTTGGATCTACGATTGTTGACAATGTACTTGTCAATCGGAAAGCATCATTTCACGCCAATCAATTATCACAACCATCTTCTTCATCATATCCAAATAATCAAGTTCCATACTATTATGGATCATTAGGTCGTGGAAAATCTCGTAATCCAGAATCAAGACCCGGTTCGATTAGTCAATCTATAAATGTGGCCAAAAATAATGAAAATATTTATGCACAGCGACCACCTATTTATCATCATTCACAAACACGTAGCCCAGGATTACGTCCTAACAATAAAAGTTCCAATATGAATCTAGTCGAACCTATTTCAGGTGGTTTCCAATCACGAAAAGAAATGACACCCACTCCACCAACAACAAATTATTTTGCCTTTGAAATGTCTAAAGATACTGATATTATATAATGTTGATTCGATCCAGTATCTGATTCTAATCTGGGTCCAATAAAATTGTTTAAATCCATTCAAATAACGATACAAATAAAAACCATTTACATTTTGAAACTTTTTGAGTTTATATAAAAATGTAACTTTTCTCATATGAAATTGTTTTTTTTTAGAAAACACGTGATACTTTCCATTCATTCAAAAAAAAATTCATACGTGGCAAAATATAATTGTCAGCTGACATTTATCATTGATGCGTCATTTTTTGCGATAAGATATTTAAATTTGTTATCATTTATTCATCTGTTTCAAACGGATAAACAATCAGAAAATTAATCTCAAATCAGCTGTTAGAGCTTGGACATCGCAAGTGACATTGGCATTATAATTTTGACAATGCAATTAACCAATCCTTAGCACTTTTCTTTTTTAATTACGTTTATTTTTTCATTGGCTCACTTTACTTATTCACATTTTGTTTGAATTTCATTTTATTTCCTAATTGCTATTATTATATTAATAAAATATGTTGTTCTCTCGTCTAATTATTCGTAATCATCGTTTCGTTTCAGTTTCCTTTGCTGTTCATCGCATTCCAGAAAAGCATTTTTTTCTTAATTATTCACAAAACCGATCATCGTCCAACCAAATAACAAAAATGGCTTCATTGAACAAAGAAGAAATCGCTAGATATAGTCGCCAAATGCTGTGTCCAGAAATTGGGAAAAGTGGTCAACTTCGTTTGAAATCCAGTTCAGTTCTCGTAGTTGGTGCCGGTGGTCTTGGTTGTCCATCATCCTTGTATTTAACTGCAGCTGGTATAGGCAGATTAGGATTGATTGATAGCGATGTTGTGGAAACTAGTAATTTACATCGACAAACATTGCATTCTGAATCTACAATTGGACAACCTAAAACAGATTCGGCTGTAGATCGTCTTCGACAATTGAATTCAAATGTCAAATTTGAAAAACATCAAGTTCGATTATCAGCTGAAAATGCGGCTGAAATTATTACAAATTATGATATTGTGATCGATGGTACTGATAATCCTATGGCTCGGTATCTTATAAGTGATGTTTGCGTTCTTCTTAAAAAACCAATGGTCAGCGGTTCTGCTTTGCAATGGGAAGGTCAATTAACTGTCTACAATTATGATGAAGAAACTCCTTGTTACCGGTGCCTTTTTCCTCAACCACCAGCTCCTGGAACTGTGACTAATTGTGCTGATGGTGGTGTCATTGGTGTCGTGCCTGGAATTATTGGAAATATTCAAGCGTTAGAAGCTATCAAAATAGCTGCAGGATTGAAACCTTCATATGCGGGAAAATTGTTGCTTTTTGATGGTCTCAGCGGCCAATTTCGAAAAGTTGAACTTCGAAAACGAAAAGATGATTGTATAAGCTGTGGAAATAATCCGACTATCACCAATGAATTGATCGATTACAATAAGTTTTGTGGAATCCAATGCGGTTCAGCTAAAAAGCAGGAAATTATCGACCCAGAAGAAAGAGTGACCGCAGAACAATATAAACAAGTTATTGACTCAAACGAACCACATTTGTTAATAGATGTTCGTCCACAACTGCATTACGATATTGTTAAATTAGACAATGCAATTTCCGTTCCTCTTGGTCAGATAATCAAAGGAAACGGTGTTGACAAAATTACTGAATTAATTGACGAAAAATGGGATCCAAATTCTAATGAAAAAAAGAAAATCTTTGTCATGTGTCGACGTGGTATAGCATCGCAAAAGGCTGTTGTTGAACTAAAAAAACGACTCGGTGCAAAAATTGATGAAAAAAATCTTGAAATTAAAGATGTTAAAGGCGGTATCAGCGAATGGGCTGAAAAGATTGATCCAGAAATGCCAACCTATTAAAATGATCAATCAATTCTTTCTTTGAAAAAAAAAATTATTAATCTTCCACAAGATGGCATTACTCACTACTGTTACCAAAAATAAAAATAAAAACTTCATATGATTTAGCTTTAGTCTTTTTATTCACAATGTTTATCTGTTATCTGTAACATTGTTAGTGCGTTTTATGATGATTATATGATGAAACATGCACCATAAAGGATGACGGTATAACATTTGTCACAAGTTTATTTTTGTTTGTTTAAGCTTTATGTTAAATCAATAAAGACTCAATTTACCGCTACTATTTTATTGTTTTTAACATTTAATGAAATTTTTATCCCCAAAAAAATTAATCATGTTTTAGAACTTGACCAATTGCGATTGATTGAACAATTTTAATCGTTTGTCTAATTATGATTAAATAAATAATCGAATCGTATTTATATTTCAAGGTTCGTCATAAATCGATTCGATTGGAAAAGTCATTCAGCTTGAATAGCTGTTTTTCTACTTATTTATTTCTTTATTTTGTGTGTTGAAAATATCACGGACATTTACGATTCGAATATTATATCCAATGATTTTAAATTGTTTAATGATTTTATTGATTTTAATCATCGTGGTGTTGTTTTCTTTAGCTGTATTATTTATTCTAATTTTACCGTCAAATTATAATATTGTTCCAGATAATAGGATTTCCGAATTTTTTTATCAACTAAATTTATTTGATAATCTGGATCTAAATTTTAAACAAAAAATGGTGACAAAAGTTACTTTAATATTATTACTTGCATTGATTTTTGTTGCAATATTTGTTTCAAGTTTTCTACATATAATCAACACTGAAGATGATTACAATAATCATTTTCGAATAAATCAAACACAAATACTCAATGATCCTATACAAATTGATGATAAATATGAAAATCTCTTCTGGTTTATTCATATTTCCGATACTCATTTAAGTTATTATCGTGATCAAAGCCGCAAAACTGATCTGGTTGATTTTTGTCGTTCAGTGATACCGATTATTAAACCTAGTGTCCTTGTATTGAGCGGTGATATTACCGACGCTCGAACCAAGTTACCACTTGGATCTGAACAGTATCGTGATGAATGGATCATGTATCAGGATGTTCATGAACAATGTTTGAAAGCAAATCCTGATTTGAAATGGCTTGATATCAAAGGAAATCATGGTTTGTTATTTAAATTGAGTTTTCTACAAAAAAAAATCGATCTAACTTGATAATTATCTTTTCTACAGATACCTTCAATTCTTACAAGAATCATAATAATTTCGATAATTTCACTGTCCAATCAAACATGTCATCCGATGGTCGGTCTTATCTTTATCAATACCAAGCTACTGATGGAAATCGTTATTCATTCATCGGCGCTGATGCATGCCTTAAACCTGGTGTTCGTAGACCCTTCAATTTTTTGGGGCAATTTGATGAGAATGAATTGGATAAATTAAGAAAATTTAAACAAGATAGTCTCAACACTACTTACACTATATGGTATGGCCATTATCCAACCGCTGCCATCTTCAATCGCGATAGTTTTCGTGAAATCATTAATGGCCCTTATTTATGTGGTCACTATCATACTATTCATGGATTGGTGCCGAATATGATCACTACACAACAGCAAGGATATCTTGAAGCTGAAACTGGTGATTGGAAAGATTATAGAATCTTTCGAATCGTCGCCATTGATCATGGATTATTCACATTTGCAAATTACTATTACCGACCGCATCAACAGCAACCATTGATCGTTATTACTAATCCTCGTTCTATTCTTCATCAGATGGAACACTTGGAACCATTCTGGCGGACAGCCAATTCGACCCATATACGAACACTAATTTTTTCGCACAGACCAATAATCAATGTCAAAGCTTATATAACAAAGCAGCAAAAATTTAATCCGAATGAATTTGTTGAAAAATTTGAATTAAAACATGTTCATGGTTATCTTTGGGTAAGCCCTTGGTCACCGAAAAAATACGCTAGTGGATTGTATTTTATAACTGTAATAACATCGGTATGTGTGTGCTATTCCTGTCTTGATTTGAAATTTCAATTTATTTTTTCATCTAATTTATAAGGATGATCATTATTCTAATCAATTGACTGTGCCGTTTTCGTTGGATCGTTCCAAGTCAGAATTTTCATTTTTGGCTCGATTATTATTGCGATTTGATTTTCGTACAATTGTAAGTTTTGAGAATTGTCTTTATTATACAAATTATATTTTAACATTATCTACAAAAAACAGACCATGTTTTTGTATTCCTGGAGTTTCTTAATAGCTACATTACCATTAATTTTTCTACGAATTTTCACATCAAATGAAGATAATTATATCAAATATATGTGCAATCTTTCTCGACGTCGCTATATACGCAAAGTTGTTTTCAGATTATTTTTGCTTTCACATCAGGATAAATTATTCTATCCGATCATAATATTGCCATTATATTCATTAATTGGTCCTTGGTTTCTGGCATATTTGGTTTCTGATTATGTCGGTATAGTGTTTGCCTGGGGTCAATTTATTGATGGATATTTTCTTCCAGTTGGTTTTACATTTGTTTTTTCTGCAATTTTCGTAAGTTATTTACTGATTTACTTTTTCCTATTGAAATTCATTTTTGTTTTTGTCAGATTATGATTTTCCATTTACCATTCATGGTTTCTTTGTCAATTATTGTCTATCTTCGTTATGTTGAAATCGAAACTAATGATCAAAATGGCAATGAACATACAGATGAAAGTCCAAGAACAAGAAAAAGAAACTTGAATCGAATATTTAAAAAAATGTATTTCTACGCTCTAATCTGTGTAATTTTAACTGCTTCTCAGGTAATTAATGAATTCCTTTTATTCAGATATTAATTCACGTTCTTTTTTTTGATTGTTAGTTCTGCGCTGCCCTTATCTTTTATTGGGCTTATGGTTTTTTGGCTTTTATCACGAATTTTTATGTATGGTCTTGTCCGGTTTATTTGATGTTGATCAGATTTGCACTAAATCTCGATGGCCATGATTTCAAACCAATGCAAAATAAAACCACATATCAATCTTGTAGTACTAGGGATAATATTGATGAACAAAATTGAGAATCATTCCAATCTCCCTTATTTCCTTATTATTTTGTATTATATTTTTGTCTCGAAAATGACCAAATTTCCTGGGCAAAATTTTTAAAGTTTTATTACCTGTTTTAGCCATAAATAATATCCATCTTTTATTTAACATTATAAAACAAAATGTTTTTATTAACTGTTTTTAATAAGACACACAGATAAATCTCTATTTTGTAAATAATATTATCAACAATTATCAAATGATTTACAAGAATGATACATATGAAAATGATAACTGTGATCATTCGACAATTAAGCATTTATTATTTTACTTACTTGTTCTAGATATAAATTATTTTTTTAAAACATGAAATTAGAAAAAAAATTGGTTTTAAGAAATTAAATGTTAATCAATTAGAATCCAGATATCAAATAATCAAATGAATTTTATCAAAATCAATTCAATATTAAATTGAGCCGCCATTCACTGGCATCAAGGTTTAATTTTGGTTGATTACCTTGTTACAAATATAACATATGTGTCCTTCAATCAGAAAATATTATAGATTTCGAATTTTTAAAAATAATTCATTAATTGATCATAAAAGATTCATTTCTCTACAATCATTATTCGGTGTTATAAATTGAATTACAATTTAATAGAATTGTAACAATTATGTTTAAATCATATAAAGCCAAGCCTAGTTTTAACTTAAGCTTAACCCAGTTTTTATAATTTAGTTTTGATATTTTATTGTTCAGTAACAGAGAAATTTATTATTATTATTCAGTGATAAATTTTTATTAAATTCATCTAAAACATTGCAAGTTTATCAAAAGATTGAAGATGAAATCATTAGCTATTATTCTCTTGTTATGTTGTTCAGTGATTTTTATTACTGAAGCAATAGTTTCTGAAGAAACAGTTACTGAAGAATTTATGCCCGGTGGTCTTCACCGTATACGAAGGAATGATTTAGATATGCTTAAGGCATTTTTACCTTTTGAACGAAAAATGGATCAACTAATGAATTCGACAAAAATTCATCGTGTCGTACGAATTCGCCGAGCATATTCACAAGTTGTATCCGGTATCAAATATTATGTGGATTTCGATTTTCATGATACTAATTGTTTAAAGGGTAGTGCCCAGCATTTAATATCATGTAAAATTACCGGCTCTAATCATAATTGTCATGCAGAGATTTGGCTTCAACCTTGGGTAGGTCCAAACAAATTGGTGAATTTTGAATGTAAAAATTAATTTAAAAATGAGTGTCAATTAAATGATTTAATTTTTAATATTAAAAAAAAACATGAAATTAGACATTTATGAAATTCAATGCTAATAAATTAGAATCCAGATGTCAAATAATCAAATGAATTTTATCAAAATCAATTCAATATTAAATTGAGCCCCATTCACACTGGCATCAAGGTTTAATTTTGGTTGATTACCTTGTTACAAATATAACATATGTGTCCTTCAATCAGACAATATTATAGATTTCGAATTTTTAAAAATAATTCATTTATTGATCATAAAGGATTCATTTCCCTACAATCATTATTCGGTGAATCACAATTTATTAGAATTGCAATAAATAACTTAAAATTATAAAGCTAAGCCTAGTTTCAGCTTAAGCTTAACCAAGTTGTCAAGTTAGTTTTATTATTCGGTAACAGAGAAATTTATTATTCGGTGATAAATTTTTATTAAATTCATCTAAAACATTGAAGATGAAATCATTAGCTATTATTCTCTTGTTATGTTGTTCATTAATTTTTATTACTGAAGCAATAATGCCCGGTGGTCTTAGCCGTATACGAGTGGATGATAGGGAAATGATTTTGTCATTATTATCTTTGGAACGAAAAATGGATCATCTATTAAATTCGCCAAAAATTCATCGTATCGTACGAATACGCCGAGCATATTCACAAGTTGTATCCGGTACCAAATATTATGTGGATTTCGATTTTCATGAAACTAATTGTTATAAGGCTAATGTATGGCATCTATCATCATGTAGAATTATCGGCTATAATCATGTTTGTCATGCAGAGACTTGGGTTCAACCTTGGAAAGGTACAAATAGATTGGTAAATTTTGAATGTAGAAATTAATTCAAAAATGAGTGTCAATTCGATGATTCAATTTTTAATATTAATGATTTCTATGTAATTCATTAAAGAAAATCATTATTTATAGATACAAAAAGATGTTTAATTATATGATAAGATCATATTTGAATTCAATCACATGAATAACAAAACTTCAATAAATTGTTGAAACAAGGTATGTGTATAATATTCAAAAAAAAAGATTTAAAGAAGACATTCCAAGAAAGACATCGAGATTTGACGACCACCAAATGGCAATGAGAATATTATCGATGGTTCAACGGCGATAACAGAACCTGTATATCAGTGGTCTTCAACTTATATTTAATTCGCGAATCAACAAACGATGTCAAGTTTCTTTTTGACTAGATTACCATTCAAAAAAAAAATTCCATGTAATTGGTGATTACAATCTAATCCGGTTTGAGTTGTTGATCTTTGCATTATATTCAATCAATTGATTTGCTTGAGACATTCGAAAAAAAATTTGTGGACCGATGGTTGGAAATCACTGTTTTTGATTGCTTTTTGTTTATGTTTTTATTTTGATCATTAAGCAATATATGATTATTATCTTGTGCTGTTGATCGATGCAATAAGTTGATTTCATTGAATTTGAGGTACATTGTTTATGTCTTCTCTTGATATGTTGTCGTCCGAGCCAATTCTACATTGATATAAATATCGCAAACACCCTTTGGATTCATTTTTCCTCAAATGACAATCCTTTCCATATTTTCATTACAACAAATCAGACAAATAAATTGCAACAAAATGAAATCGTTATTGTTTTCGGTCACAATCATTTTATCGTTAGCCCAAGTTTATGTTTTTGGTGGTAAAGATGGGCCGATCGCTGGAGGAATCAGTAAAACATCACCCGATAATTTTCATTTAGTCATACCAACAATGATAGCTTTGGAACGTGAAATGGACGAAAAAATGAATTCACCATTCATTCATCGTGTGAACAAAATAAAAGATCTCAAAACACAGGTAGTTGCTGGAATTCGATATTATGTCAAGTTTGATTTTGGGCGAACAAGCTGCCTGAAGAATGCAACCACTGCGGATGGTATTAGTCAATGTAATGATGTTACTAAAATTCGAAAATGTGAAGCTGATATTTGGGAACAGGCATGGCTTGATAAACGTGATCTTTTGAATTTTAAATGCAATAAATAATCGTAATCATGGTGATGAATTTTGAAAATCGATTACATTTTTAAAATGTTACTGCTGTTAATTTTTGTTTTAAAGAATTGTTTACAACATGAAATATAATCGAAAATATAATAACAATAATAACCAAAAAAAAAAGATAACAAATCATTCTAGATTTTTCAATCATTTCTTTTCAATTTTTTCTAAAAAATGTTCCAATTCCTTTTTTATTGTTTTTTGATCATCCAACGAACAATCGATTACGATTTTTTGAAAACGTTCATCGATAGGAACAAAAAGTTCACAGTGATTTTTATCCACAGAATCATCCGATGTGCAAGAACTTAGATATGTGAGACATTTTTTCTTGGCAGCAATTCTGCCTTCTTGCATCAAAATCTTTTTTAATGTATCGATATATTTAATGGCATTTTCGAATGCTTCGATCTGGATGGATGAACGCATCGGTTTAATGATGATTTTGACACTTTCTAACCGCTGTAATAAATCTTCTGTAGTAGCATGAATGTCTTGCAGATCGACTATTTGAATAATTGTTAAAAACAATAAGTCATTTGAGAAATTATAATTTTAAAAAATTTCTGACTAACCTTCGGTAAATGATGAAAAATTTGATGCTGGTGATTTCGTTGCGATTTTATTCAATGCATCGAATAATTTATTTTTCTCTTCCGATAATTCGAATGCAATTTCTCTTAAGAAAACTATACGCTTCTCAACTTGGTCTAACGTCTTTAACACATCGTCTTTCATTATTGGAACATTTTGGTCGTTAAGAGAAAATCGTTGCCGCTGTTTGATTGTGATTGTCGGCGCTGTCGTTTGCGTTTTTATTTTATGTTTATTGATGTCGAATGATGATGATGATGATGTTGTTTCGCCATCAAAGTTATTCGGATACTGTTTTCCCGAATATAAACGATTTGCACTTGATGATCTATGAATATCTTGAAGTCGTATTTCAGGAGTATGATTATAATGATTAGGATTTGTGCTAGTTGTGGATGAATAAGATGAATCATAACCAGATGACATTGGGGAATGACATCGTTCGTTGCTGGATTGAGTAAGACTATTTATTCGTGACAACATTCGTGATAATGTTGGATCTGGTGATGATATCCGAAGATTGATTCGAGGATTGAACGGTGATTGATAGTTGAAATTTGGTGTTTTATATGATGGTGAACGGCTAGTTCTTGGAACGGAAGATTCATTTTCAACATTATGCGAAATGGAACGAAATATTGGTATTGTACGAGTTCGTTCATTGTTCAATGCACAAGGATTTTTATCTTTTTGTTCAGATGATATCTATAAAATTGATCAATCATTTTGAGCATTTGAAATCATCTATTGAATTTTCATTTGAACAACTTACTTTGATGATTGATTTTCGCGTCGCAGAGCTATTATTCGGTGGTAATTTTGAATGAATGGACGTTATAGTAGGTGTACCACTTCCATCATTTCGTAGTATTTCCATATTCAAATTAATTTGTCCGTCAAAATAATCAATTTAAAATGTTTAGCACAAATCTAGAAAAGAATTTAATAATTTAGGCCAAAAAATTTTTCGAATATTAAATTTCGACAACTATAAATCGAAATGAACTTGATGATTATAAAGATAGAATAGACTCTAAATAGGAATGAAAAACAAATAGAATTTAGACTTTGTTGCCTGCCTATTTAACCACGATAGAAGAGAATCCGAAGTGTATATGTATATAATTACAATTACAAAAGTGTACTCCACTTGTCAATGATTATGATATGTCATCTGTTTGGAATTTTGCTCGATAGCTGACGGAATATTTTTGTTTTATATGTCAGGCAACTAAAATTCCAGCCAACAAAAACAACAACAATATTAATGATGATAATAATAATAAAACAAGAAGATAACAGCCATGACTGTGAAAAAGGATGATGGCCGGAATTATTTGCGTTGATGATGGTGATGATGATTGTTTTGTTGCTTGTTTGCTTTGTTCATTTTATTTGTTGTTGAATTTCATTACCATCAAGCTAATAGAATTTCGGTCGCTGTGAATGATAGCTACGGTGATGAAGATGATTACTAAAAATAACTCGAATGAGACGCAGTGAATTCTATAATTCTTTAAAATCAAATGAATTAGATGCGAAAACAGCAAACTATTTATTTGTGAATTGGCTAGCCTGGCATTCCCTAATCATCAACATCATCATCATTAACGTTGTTAAATATTAGAATTAATAAGGCGATTCGTTGTTAATCAATGATAGCATTAGCAAAATCTTAATTTAAAAAAAAAAATAAATAGAGCACTTGTTGAAGAACAAATGTATGGGATTTGTTTATAATAATAATCCTAACAGCCATATAATCATTTAAAAATCATCATTATCCGATGATCTGAATTGTGTTTTATTATTGAATGCCAAATAATTTTGTTTGTATACATTAGATGTTTACAATCGTAAAAGAAGGAATCTATAGATTCTTTTGGCTATCTGTTGAACCAAAAAAATTACCTAATCATCAGTATTTTATTGAACAAACATTGAATGTGATGATAATTGCGCATGTAATATAAATTTAGTTTATGTCGCTACCGCGTTATTCTCATCAATCGTTGTTTGTCGATTAAGATTATTTCATTTATTATTCTTGCATCGTATTTTAATCATCTTCACCAAATGAACAAACAACTTCATGAAACAATATCATTCATCATCCGATTTGATCAAAAAACGATTAAATCAATTTGAAAAAGCCGAAATGTCTTCGACAACAAAGATTGGTAATGGAATTTCCGTGAATGGACGATTGAAAAAACAGGATACATTTCAATCAAATAGTTCGACAACAATCAATTTATCAAAATTTGATTCAAGTTATCATTCATCGTTTCAATGTCGAATTTATGATAAATCGAATGCTCGAACATCAAAATTGTTTAGAATATTAACAGTATTGGCATATATTATTGCAGTTAGTATGGCTGCTATTCTTTTGTCACTTTATTATACATTTATCTGGAATCCATATCATCATCATCATCATCATCATGGTAATGGCAAAGAGGTAACTCTCATCGATAAACAACATCACCAATCAGCTACTATGAATAATAATATTCTTGCCATTCAATCATCAACATTCAAGTCATCAAATCAAACACATCAATTCATTTTTGAACATAATAACAAAACTGTTCCGGATATTAATTCCGACAAATCAAGACCAATAGCCATTGCATCGTTAATGATGGCCAATCAAACTGAAAATGTTGGACAGTAATTGGAAAAAATAATTTTTTTATTTAATCATTATTTTTTATTTATTTATTACAAATTGATATAATAAAATTTATGATGATTTTAATACAATTTGCGCTAATTTAATGATATTAAATCAGATTGATTCAGTTAAAAAAAAAAGAGGATTCTGCGTAACAATTTTATCATTATTAGATTTGAAATTCTAAATTAGATTTAAAGGCACATTCAATAAAATTATGAACATAATGCCGTGCTTTGGAAAAGAAATGATAATCAATAATTGTTGATAATTTAATTATTATTACTTGATTCTATAGAATCATTTCATATGCGGCACGTAGGAAATAAGCAGCTTTTTGATTTTCTTTGACCAATGAAAAATTTTCAGCCAATGCTTCAATATCGGGCAATTTTTTTGATTCGTCTCCTACATGATTTTATAATATGAAAACAAATAGAAAATGATCATATATTCTCTTACCATAATAAGTGATTGCCAATTGATAGAAAAACGATTTTTTAATAAACAATTCCAAGTTATCGGTACAATATTCGCTCCATCTGTAATATAAAAACGAATAATGATTCGGAAAAGTCAACAAAAACATAAAATACAAATTACTTACTCATCTTTTTCGAATGCTTTTTGCCAAATTTTAAACAAAATCTGTCGATGTAGATCGATTGAATATCGACGTTCAATAATTTCAGCAATTTCAAGTGCTTTTTGAAAATTTTTTAAATCTTCATTTGGACCTTCGGCACCTGAAATCAAAATATCAACCAATTGTTTGGGTGACAAAACGGGCATTGTTTTACGATCAAGATCGTTTTTTCGTAACAAAGAATCCGAAAGATCGGATTGATATTGAAGAAATCGAAGTTGATCATCAAAATCTGAATAGTTTGTATCACCACTGGTAATCAATGCTAATTTACCGATGCTAAGCATAGTTTTACGCCTTGCAACACAATTTTCTTCTAATAAACCAAGTTTTTTCAATGTTGAACTAGCATCTTTATATCGACGTGAATGCAATTGATGTAACCATTTTAATGAATCATGATTGGATAGAAAAGCATCCAATTTCTGATTATTAGCTGTCGTCGATGATGATAACATTTTACCTTGTTTGCCTTCTTTCAAATACCATTCAAATAGATATTCGGCAAATCCTTTTTCGGCAAAACGTTGTGAATAATGTTTAAGCTGTTCTTGATTATCTAATGCTTCACACAGTTTAATAAGTATATCAAAATCTTCATATTTTTCAGCTAATTCAGCCGCACGATCATGTTGTTTTATTCGAAGCAATGGCTCAAGACATTTATATCGAGTCATTTCAAAAGCTCGACGTAGTGTAGCGAATTTCTCGTTTGCTGGATTAAGGTAACGAAGTTGACAAACAAAACTATCAAGAATAATATCGGCTAAATCGGCAAGCTTTTGTCCAACTAAAATCCATTTATCTTCATCACCAATCATATGACATTGAGCATCGACTCGGAAACATCGAATGATTAAATCGAATTGTTTGATCCATACATCTCGAACACCGGTTATTCGTTGTTCAGATGACCATGGTACATAATCACAATCGGCGACTACTGCCGTTTGATAAATGACACCATTAATTTGTCGATATCGACATACTTCAGCGAACACTGTAGTCATTATATCCGTAATGGAAATGATTAATCTTTCATCATATGTATGCTCGATTTGGGATTGTGTTTCTTCCATTTCGATGAGTTGCCAGAATAATTCATCTACTTTGGTAACTTCACGATAGAATAAATCTTGATTAGTTAGATGACTATGTGATTCGAATCCTTTCATCATTCCGGCATTTTTTCTTTTTTCCAAAACTTTTTTAATCGCATTCACAAGAATAATACCATAATGTGAATGCAATTTCCAAAGTGCCATACAGACTAGCAATTTTTCTGAATGTTCACAAAGAATCAATTTAGTTGGAAAAATAGATTTAAAATTTGTCAATGATGTTAATGAATCCCAAATGCCTGTTCTTTTAAGCAATTCTATGAATGAATTATGTGTCAACATTTTTTCTTCTAATTGCGTTCCAATGATCACGGAACCATGAGTTTCTTGATGTTGTTGTTGATTAGGATGCTGAATATCCAAACAATTTTCAGCATCAATAAAAGTTGACCATCTTGGATCGGCGTGTGGTATTTGGTCACAGATATCGGTACTAAGTGCACAAACAGTCGCATCTAATTCCATTGTATTTGTTGGTTGCTTCAATTCGGTTGCTGGTTGTGATCGAATGAACGGAAACATTTCATGTACAAGTAGTTCAGCATGCGTTTTATCATCTTTCATAAAAAATTGTAATGCTCGCTTTAGTAGAGATAATTTATCTGTTTGATTAGATTGTATAAATTCTCGATCTGATGCTGATAATTGTTTTGAAGCAATCAAATCTGTTGTTCGACATTCAACGGATAGGAATCCATTTTTAAAAGTCAATAATAGAAGATTTTGATCAATTACAGTTGCGCCGAATATAAAGTCATTCGTGGATTCGAAATCAATTTTTTCACTGCGATCTTGATTGTTGAGATTGACCTTATAAATACAATTTGAATTAAAAATATAGCAAACTTGTGAATGCTTCATTGTAATAAGATTAAATGGACGATTTTGTGACAAAGATGCTGATGTTGAACGTGTTTGTGGGAAAAGTTCATTACTTGATAAACAAATATCGGTCAAATATCGAGCAGATTTTATAAGTGAAATGGAGTTTTGAGAATCAAGAGACGATCCATCCAAAGGAAATAGATCCGGTATTAATGAAAATAAAGCAAAATGATTATCATTTGGCACATCGGAATTGTTACACATGACCAACAAAATTATCTCATTAAATCGATTCAATGCAATATCCATGATCCAAATGGAAATCTGATTATGATGTGTTGTTGTACGATCCCAAAATTTTGTGATGAAAGCTTCTTTTAGATGTTTTTCTAAATCAATTCGACCGCAAAAATTTTCACCATCATAATCTTCAATAATCCATTTTTGAATGGAACAATTGTGCAAAGCTAGAATGAAAACTGGTAAAACATCATCATTATCATCTACTGGTTTATTACGAATAATGCGTAAAATTTGGCGGGATTCAGCAGAATAATTTGCAGTTGGTAAAGATCCATAAATGAATGAGCTAAATTTTCGACCGATTCCAGAGAATAAACCTTGTGGAACTTTCAACGTGCGGCATACAATTGGTGATTGATTTGGTTCTTGACGTGTTCGATCATCAATATAAATATGAGCTAATGAATTTGTAGTCGTACCTAGTACACATCCAAGTGGACAAATATCTAACAAAATCTGACATTCTTGACCGTTCAAATCGGCACCAACGACCGTATCATAAACATTATTTTCTTGAAATATATTCGGCCAATATCGGATTGAACCTTCAGGGCTTACAGCGATAGCACTAGGAAAACGACTATGTTGCTGTTGTTGATATTGGGTCATCGAATTAGATACACAAACTAGTTCGGCTTTGTGAGCAATATCACTAGCTGGTAATAGTAATTCATAACATTTGGTGGCTTTCGGTTTATTGGCAACCACATCGTCCAGATATCGCCAAATGAATAATTTACGTCCAACAACGAACCAAGCCCAGCCATCGTGAGAAATTCGTGCAGTCAAATTTTTTGATGTTAAATCTATAACAAATTAACCAAAACGATTCAACAATTTTTTCCTCAGATTTTCACGACTTACTTGATGTCGAAAAAGCTTCAATAATACGATATGGAAGTTTTGATGGAAATTCTTTGACCATCAATGATGACGTTGAATTACCATAAAAACTATTTGAAATATTTATCTGTGATTTCGATGTCATATTTATTAATTGTCAAACTTAAAGTTGAAAATGTTTTTAATTTAGAATCAATTAAAAGCATGCTTGTCAAGACAAAAAAACTGCCGCTTATTTTTAGTTCATTTATGAATGACCCAAGCATGCATTTTTGTGCCAAAAATTGGTCTGATTTTGCTGGAAAAATATCAACAACAAAAATGATTTCTCGTGAAAATGCCGATAAAATTAGCTCATTGATGGGCACTTATTTGCTTCAAGGTTATACCTTATTAGATGATTATTGTAATTCATGCAAGGTTTGAATAATTATTCAATGTATAATACAAATAATTATTATTACGAATAAATAATTTAGACGCCGTTAATGCGAAAAACATTAGAAACACCATTCTGTATATATTGTGATCGTATCAAAAAGAAATCGGATAATGAAGAACGTTCGCCATTATCTGAGAAAAAATCGCGAATGGAAACTTTGGCAATGATAAGTGATGATGAACAATCTGATGAAAATAATCTCACGTCTAAAATCCGATTGAAAATGCAAAAAGTTATTATGAATTTGACCGAAGAGCTTGAAAATCAATCAACGAATCTACAACAAAATTTGCATGCAAGTTCAGAAAAAATGTCATTATTGCTTGAAATGATTGATAAAACAATTGTCGCAATGAAAAAATTGTGAAAAAGTTTATTATCAATTTTAATTTTAATAAATTCAAATTTGCCGTTTGATGGTTATAATAATTTTCATGTAGAAAAACGGGAAACTAATTATATCATTTGTCATAGTGGATGAAGGAGAAACTTTGCTACCACTACCGTAATTTAGATATGATGATTGAAAAGTGATTCAACTATGATTAAGCATATGAAAAAAAAATCAAAGATTCCAATCCGGTTCCAGGAAGCCAAACTTGTCTCAACTCAAAAACGAGCTGCAGCCAATGAAAAACAGAGTTTGAAGACAAAAGGAAATTTTCCATCTTGATAAAGAAAAAATACATTAGAAAATCAAATGATTTAAATGATGATTGTATCTTACTTGGGTTAGGGATTGAAACATGATTACAAATGACCAATGCTTCAATGGCGCAGGATATACTTTCGAATTGAATTAAACCAGATGAACTTCGTTCGGCTAGAATTTGTTTTAGTTAGAAAAAAGAGGGGATCCACACAACAATGTAACTTACTTTTTGATTGAAAAAATTTGATCGAATTCGGTTTGTTATTTGGACAATGTTCTTCAAAAATATTCATAATATCTTGCTCAGTGATGCCATATGGAGCATTAAAGAAATGTAATACTTCGGCCGGTTGTGAAATACGATTTTTCAATGCAGATTCCGGATTAGTAAAACGATTATTACGATTACCCATAAAATCTTTAAATGATGGCGTACCGTCAGGTAATTCGAATGGCTGTTTAACATCGTTAAGGAAAGCTTGTTTGGAGAAACCAAGTTGCATTTCATGTCCAAAAAATGTAACTTTATTCAATGATGAGATTGATCGTTCAACCGAGATTGAATCACCCATTTGTACCATGGAACAACCTTCTTTGCTTTTCAAGAATTTGATTCGAACAACATTGCCATATTGGCATAGCAAATTAAACAAACGGTCACAGTTCATGATTTGATGGTTCAGACCATAGACCATAAGAACAGCACCTTGCTGCGGTCCACCTTGTTGTGTAACTGGTGTTCCTTGAATCAATGGCGTTTGACCAGGAAAGCCAGAATTCGGTATACTACCGAGAACACCTTGACGGCCATCCCGATAACTAAAACAAAAAAAAATAATTTAAAATACTAATTAAATTTTTTTCAACAATTCATCGTACGCATCGCCAGGTGGAAGGTAAGAATCCGGCATATATGGTGGTGCAGGATGACGATTACCCGGATTGTATGCATCATGGTGGCTGTAGGGATCTTTACCAAATTGATTTCATCAGAAAAAAAACGAAGATTAGTATCAAACGGAATCTAATATATCTGAAAAAAAAGAAAAAGAATTAACAAAATGAAAATTCGAAAAATTTAAAAACTTACAATTTAAAAAAAAAGAATTTACCATCAGTTACGGGAAGTTTTCCTATTTTGATTTAAATTGAAAAAAATAGACAATTAGATTGAATGAAAATAATTAAATATGAAATAGAAATAGTCATCAAAACAGGCATAATTTTTTTTTGAATGTTTTGCTTTGTGAAATTGAAAAATAAATTGAAATCTGATCAAAATGATCATCATGGAAAGATAAAAAGTTGATTGATCAAATCAATCAACAATGTACAAGTTTTTCTATCCATGATTATTTACAGCATTTGCGACATGATTATTATTAATTGACAATTCCTCACCTAATCCCGGATTTGTATAGTCGAAGCTTTCAAGATCATTCTTGTAAACGTTCAGACGAACTGGCTGTGATTGTTTTGTGTTCGCAGTGATTCGTGGATCAATCGTTATTTGTTTGGTTTGGTTTTGGTCAAAATTCGGTCATAAAATGTTTAGTGAGATTTTTATTTGATTAGTTTGTTGTTTTGTGATGTTGATTGTTGTTGTGAAAAATGATGGTTTGGAATTTTTTGTTTTAATCGATGTTGTTCGGATTTGTATTGTTTGAGTTTTTCAATTGTTGTTGTTGTTGTTCGTGGTGATGGTCATGTCAATTTTATATTTTGGAATTTCGATATAAACATCGAAAAGATAAGAAAAAAAGGATATTATTAATATTTTGTTTGTCATGAATTGGATTCATTTTTTCTGTTAGAATTATCTGCTTTGTGACAAATTTATTTCACCGGTATTTTCATCAGTGTCAGATTTTATGCAATTTTTTTTTCACTCATCTTTTTGTTCGAATAATTCATTATCGAATTACATACCTTGGCATATTCAACACGAAGTGTACAACATCCACTATAAATGTCACAACCATTTAAAACATTTTTAGCTCGTTTGGCTGATTCAATAGAATCAAATTCGACCATTGCTTGAATGCCATTCTTTTTGAATATGACAATACGTAATACTTTTCCATTTGGGCTACAAATCTGATGAATTACTTCCTACAATAATCAATATTCAAAATAAGACAGTAAATTCTATTATAAACTAATACATACACAAGTAATCGGATATGCTGGATTGATGACAGTCAATAAAAGAACGTGATTAAGACGTTCTTCATGATCTCTGCAAAGTGTGACGAAAAGCAAAAATCACAAATATAGCAATTATTTTTAAATGAAATTACCTTGGCATCCCGGCATAACGAGAATTCGAATGACTAAAGTAATTATTGTTGTTGAAACCACGGTCCTAAAATAATTACGGAAACAACAATGTAAAAAAAACAACCGAAAATAATATTTTTATACCTGATCAGTTTTAAGACGTTTTGATGAATGTCCTTCATATGTTGCAGCAGCCATCTTAATTTATTTCCAAATATTTGATTGTAAATTACTAAATTCAAATCATGACAAGCATTGAAAATCGAAAAAACAAATTGAATTTATCAAACTTACAAAAAATATGAAAAGCAATTGAATTTGGTTGCGGGAATTTTTTGTTTTTTTTCTTGCAACCTAAGTTAAACTTAATGTTTGTATGTGTGCAAATGTGTGTAGGTCCACAGCCCCAGATCAATATCTATTGTGTGTGTGTGCGTGTGTTGCGGTGTGCTCATCATCGCCGCCGTGTGCAAAACTGATAGCAACCAACAAAAGGAGAACCCGTAAAAACGATAATCGATATAATCGTTAGAGATTCGTCCTTCACATTTTTTTTGCAGAGAATTTATTTAAATTTTAAATTTTTATTTAAAAAAAACAAAATAATTAATGATGTATAAAATGAACAAGTTTTTTTTCAATTAATATGATACAAGAAGATAAAAGATTAATGCAGTTTTTCATTTACAAGAATCAAATTTATTTAAATCCACCCGGAACATGTGATGTATGCAATTGTCGAATCATATTTTGTAGGCCAGACATTCCACCCATTTGCTGTAAAACTCTTGGGTCAATCATTTTAGCCATTTGTTGATTTAGTTTGGCCATTTGAGCTGGATTGACATTTTTAGTTAGATCACCGCTTTTGAATAAACCTTTTATACCTCCCATTTTTTTCACTACGGCTGCAAATTTCGTATATTGGGATAATAATTCTTGTACTTCACGTTGTGTAACACCAGCACCACGTGCAACACGAACAATTCGAGTCGGTTGTTTTGAAAATAATTTAGCTCCTTCTCTTGAATCTAATTCTGAATCACTCATCGAATCCATAATGGTCATCATACGTTTAAGTCGTGACATAGATTCAGCTTCGGATGCACATTTAGCTAATTCAGCACCAAATCCTGGTATCATATTAAGAATCTGATTGAATGGACCCATTTTCATTATGTTTGTCAATTGTTCATACATATCTCGTATGGTGAATTCTCCGTGTTTAAGCTTTTCAATCAATTCTTCATTATCATCAAGTTTCAATTCATTGACTTTATCTATTAGACCTTCAATATCACCCATGCCCAATAGTTTCGATATGAAAGGTCTTACTTTGAACGGTTCGAATTCATCGATATGTTCACCGGTACCGATGAAAATGATAGGTGATTTTGTTGCAGCCACAGCACTCAATGCACCACCACCTTTTGCATGACCATCCAATTTTGTTACAATAATCGCTCCAACATCGACTTTTGATTTAAATGCTCTGGCCTGTGACTCACAAGCTTGACCAATCGAGGCATCCATAACGTAGATAACCAGATTAGGTTGTATAGCCGCCTGAATGGCTAACATTTCTTCGAATAATGAGCTTTCCTGTTTATGACGACCGCTAGTATCAACAATAACAATTTCAAAATTTTCATTCGAAAATTTTTCCACACCTTCGGATGCAATAACAACTGGATCGGATTCTGTATATGAACCATAAAATGGAATTCGAGCTTTTGTTGCATTCTGTTTTAATTGATCGAAGGCACCAGCACGAAATGTATCAGCACAAACTAATGCACATTTCCATCCTTTTTTCATATAATAATAGGCCATTTTTGTACAGGTGGTCGTTTTACCAATACCCTGTAGACCGACAAACATAATAACATTTGTTTTTCCTTTCACCGGTTGCCATGCTTTAACTTCAGGATCTAATAATTTACATAATTCTTGAAATACGGCACGCATAATCATTCGACGTTTATTAAGGCCGGCTGCCATTTCATCAAAATCGATAACACGTCGAACATTTTCACGTAATTGTTTTACAAGCATAATATTAACATCGGATTCGATTAATGCCGTACAGATTTCTTTAAGAAGTCCATCCAATACTTCTTGATTAATTATTGTAGCATTACCAAGCGACCTTAAGGCCGTTGTAATTTTTCTTCCTAAATCAGCTAAAACCATTTTTCAATTGTTGTATACAAAAAAAAATCACATCAAAGGCTCGAACAAAACAGATTGAAAAAACACGTGGTTATATAAAACACCAGAAATAAACAAAAAATTTCAATTTTTTTCAATTTCTATGAAAACAATAAAAATTCAAGAAATTCTGTTGCAAAAAAAGAAAGAATAAAATAAATAAGATTGGAATGATGAATGAAAATTATGAAGAAAGAAAAAAATTGTGAATGTGGCAGACCAATTCAATAAGGGAAAGTTATAAAAAAAAAATGAGTTGTGTATATCGTCGTCGACATAAACACAAATACACACGATGATTATTATTTTCTAAAACTACTTGCAACGTATATATTTTTTCTGTTTTTGTTGTTCTGAACGAAGTAGCAAAAAATTCGATTCGATTTTTTTTTTCGGGATGGATGCGTTGCAAGAAGATGAAATGGAAATTTTTTTTTTGTATGCGCATTTGCGTTAACAACAACTAAAAAAATTGGATATATTTTTGATACACAAAAATTAAAAAGGGATACACATACACAAAGATTATACATATGAAAATTATCCAAATACAACAGGATCCTCCAAATAATAATAATAATAATAGTGCTAAGTGGTTAATTTATTTATTTTTTTGTTTTGTTTTCTCTCTTGTTACTCTACATTTCGAAATGAAAACGAACTCATCAAGAAAATTTTCTTTATTTTTTCTTTATTTGGATCGTTCGATCGATCAACAACAACAACAACAATCGATAAATTAAAAACTTTTTTATAAATTGTGTTTTTTTTATTGTTTTATTGTTCAATTACAATTCATAAAATAATTTTGATTTAATTCTTGATTTCATAATCATTCTGGACATTTTTTTTTTTTTTGAAACGAAAAATTTGTTGGATGAATTCGTCCACAATAAACCAGATGTTTCGTTGTCCTCCTAATGATTGAATATAATTTAGTAATCCAAGATATTTTATTACATTGAAATATTTTAATTCTTTAATTAACAAATTGGCAAACCTATGCTAGTCATTATCCAAAGCTAGTGTTAATAATATTTTTTTTTTCAAATCAACAATAAACATAATCTTTTAAACTACTATTCATTAATAACATATTTTTTTCAACTATCATATCATCATGGATATCATCCTACAGGATCAAGATTCTAAATCAAAAATGAAATCAAATAACAACTATAATAATAGTGATATGAATCTATTAAATAATAATAATAATAATAATTCAATAAAAGGTATCAAAGATACTACGAAGATGGCAAAAGAATCATCAAATAAAGACGATATGAATCATCCGAACACTAATAATAATAATAATAATAATACGACTGATCTTCAAGTGCAATCATCAACATCATCGGCCAATAATAGTCCAATATTTGGAACACCTATCACAATCACCAATGAAACTATATATGAATTTGGTAGCCATTTTGAGAATCCATCACATGTGATCAGCGAAAAGGTAAATTGATTAATTGATTGATTGAAAATTGTGTCATTGTAATAATGACATTCGTATGTAATGTATGTTTGTGTGTTTGTAGGTGCAAAATTTGGCATCACAAATCTATAATGAATTGCAAAAAATTCTCACCCGTTATAATGATGATGAAGAAGCAGTTAATGGTCTTATGCCATTGATAGTCAATGTTCTTGAAAGTTTGGATCTAGCGTTGATTGAAAATCAACAATTACAGGTTGATCTGGAATTATGTAAAGATGATAATGAACAATTAGTACAAGCATTTGAAAAAGAAAAACAACATAAGAAAAAGATTGAACAGCGATTATTTGAATATGAATTTTCTACTGAAGAAGAAAAACAACATTATCAACAACATATCGATTCATTAGCCAATATTGTTAAAATGTTGGAATTGAAATCTAAAAATTCATCTGATCATTGTAAGTTTTCTTTAAAAATCAAATTTATATCTGTTTTCATATGCTGATTATAGCATCTAGACTTGAAGAAAAAGAAAGCGAAATGAAAAAAGAATACTCAAAATTACATGAAAGATATAACGAACTTCGACGTAGTCATTTTGATCTAATGGAAAGGGTAAAAATTATCTTGGGAACTGATATGGACAATAAAGATTTAAGCAGTAAAGAACCGCCAAATTTTTCTAATTTAGCAAATATATTTCGTACGAATTTACAAAAATTTGCTTCAAATGAAGATAATATGGAAAATTATGACCTATCTGGAATGAGTACAACAAATGCTAGAGTTGATGATGATGATGTTGGCCATTCGTTTATTCATCAGTCCAGTAATTCATTCGTCACATCTGATGGAGCATCAAATCGTCAGGATCGATGGATGGAAACAGAAATGTCATATGATGATACGACAACCATTATCGAAGATGTTGAAGAATTACAAAAAGATAATAGTAAAGATAAAAATCGTGATCAAAGTTTGTCAGGTATTTTCTAAATCTAAAAAATTTCTTCAATCTTTTCATTTCTTTTCTTTTTTTAACGTTTGCATTATTCTAACATGCTTAACCTAATGTGAAAATTAAGGAAAATTTGTTCACCCAAGTGAATATTCTACTAATGGTATTCATTGCTTTAGTTTTTCATAATACTTACTTTTTAGCTTTTATCAAAATTCTTGTTTCACGGAAACTAATTTAGAATCTTAATTTTTCTAGAAAATTTTTTCGGCATGGAAAAAGAAATTGAAAATTTAATCACCGAAAATAATGAGCTAATGGCTACTAAAAATGCTTTGAATATTGTTAAAGATGATCTTATTGTCAAAGTTGATGAACTACAAAGTGATTTGGCAATGTGTAATAATGAAATACAACAACGGGAAGCGGTTCAGGAACGATTAAAATCACGAATATCACAATTGGAAGAAGAATTGAAAAAGAATAAAGAAGAACTTGACGATTGTAAACAAAAATTAACCGCCTTAAAAGAGGTTTGTTGCACATTTTTTTAAAATTATTAATATTGAAATTAAATTTAATGTTGAAAACAGGATGAAGAAGAAGGTGTACCGATGGCACAACGTAAACGTTTTACACGTGTAGAAATGTCTCGTGTGTTGATGGAACGAAATAGTTACAAAGAAAAATATTTCGAATTACAAGAAGCTTTAAAATGGGCAGAATTAAGCCGCGCTAGTAGAAGTGAAGATAAAAGATCGAATTTTTGGAAATTGTAAGTTTTAAATTATCATTGAAAAAAACTCCTTTGATTTTTCAACCTAAACATTCATTGTCCTGGAAACTAATATTTATCAAAACTAATCACTGATAATATTTACTATCTATTCATTTAATTTTCAATGCTTACCTTTAAACTAATGAAAGAGGAAAAACTCCTTGGATTGGGTAAACTAATAGAAACTTTTCTGGATTTTTTTAAAATTTTACATTTCACAAAAATGACTAACAATATTTTATTAGTTTTAGCAATCTATTTAATCCAAGTCCGACGACTGGAACCATCGATCAAACTCGAACATCAGTTCCTGGTTCAGCAACATTACCGGCTGGTACACCTGCAATACGTTATTCAGTAAATCCAACTACAACTATACCAGCATTGGAAGCAATGAGACGTCGTGCCCGTGTACAACAGAATGGTGATCTCGAATTAATGATGGATTCGGATTTATCATCCGAAAGAGCTAGAGCAATGAAAAATCTTAAAGCACATGTTAGCCTTTCTGGTAATGGTGATCGTATTCAAGCCTATGGTTGGAGTATAACAGGTGCCTCATCATCATCATCATCTTCGCCAAGGTTTGATTAAAAAAAATGGGATCAAATTTTATAATAAAATTCAAAATTAAAATCTAGTTCTGATCCAACAAACAAATCATCCTTTTCATTGAAAAATACATCGGTTCCTGTTCCTATATATTGTCGGCCATTAGGTGGTGAAGATATTGGCATGAAAATCTGGTGTGCTACTGCTGTTGATTTAAGTGGTGGTGAGGCAGGATTTCCTGATACAAGTAATGGTAATTATAATAGTTGTAAAAATTGGTTCATCAGATTATAGCTAATAATAAATTTAATCCAAACAATACAAATAACACCCATACAGCCTCAAATAAATTGGATTATGAAAATTGCAAAAGTAATCAAGATCCATTAACCGATTTAGAAAATGAAATCGGTGAAGCAATCAAAGAGCAAACATTACCAACTGATCAACAATATTCAAATTTTGTTTGGATATGCAGTGTTAGTCATTCTAAAAGTAAAGTGACTATTGTCAATATACGAAGCAATCCGGGTGAAGTTCTTGATTCATTTTTTATTAAAACACATTTACTTTGTATCTGTTCAATACCGGGTGCTAAAAATAGTGATTTTCTTGGTGATCATGGTGTATCGATACAATCTGATGAACAGCCAGAATTGTTTTTAAGCTATCGAAAAGAAAAACCATTAAATGATGTGGCTACATCGATTACATTTTCATCACCTGTGCCCAGTATACAATCGGATGTTTCAACTAATTTAGGTAATTTTTTTTTTTTTTTTTTTGATTATCAATTTATGAACTATCGTAATTACAAATTTTCCTCCTCAAATAGATAACAATTCGATTACCAATGATGATGAGGCGATAAAAGCGGAAGAAGCCTCCAGTGTTAATTCAATGCCAATCTTATCGACATCAAATGAACAAACAACTGAAGCCAAGAATGTAACATTAGAAAAATTAACAGATTATGTTGCATATACACAGCCACCGTCGCCTACGAATTCAATGAATGGCTGTGATGATGATAGTGACCAACGATCACATAATCAACAAAAATCTAATCTATCTTCATCACCACAAGCAGAAACAAATACAATACGGTCATCTAGTTCATCATTGCCCATACAATCAATGTCGACACGATTACCGACAATGTGGCTTGGTGGTCAAAATGGTGTCCTTTATGTACACTCAGCCATTACTCAATGGTCACATTGTATAGCAACCGTACATTTGTCTGATTCAATTCTACATATTGTTCATTATCGTGGACGAGTTTTTGTTGCATTAGCCAATGGTCAATGTTGTATATTCTATCGTTGTGAACAAACTGGTAAGTTGTATGTTATAAGAATTATCTTACCAATTTTTTTCTGTCTTATACAGGTGAATGGAATTTCAATCAATATTACACACTTGATATTGGAATTTATTCGACCTCGATGAACAATCAACAATCATCATCGGAAACGAATAACAATAACAAGCAGCCACAGACAGCACTATATTCGATCAGATGCTTGGAAATTGTTAAAGATGTTGTATGGCTTGGTTATCGAAATTTGATATTCATTGTTAATACACGAACATTTAAAGTGATCAATTTTTTCATCGCTCATCCGCGTAAAGAAACCTATGTGCGGCATTTAGCTGTCATGGGAGATGGTGTTTGGTGTTCGTTTCGATTGGATTCAACATTACGATTGTATTCGGCATTAAAACCTTATCAACATTTACAAACGATCGACATTGAACCATATGTAACAAAGATGGTCATGTCCAAATCATTCAACTTTGTTAGAATAACAGCACTTAAAGCAAGTAATCATCGATTATGGATTGGTACATCTAATGGCGTTGTTTTATGTTTACCTTGTGCCACAACGGCTGCAAGAAAATCTGATGATAATAATACGATGGCTGCTTTAAGTAAAAAAATTCAAACCACCGAAGCAACTGGATCATTAACGATATCATCATTTATACCTTTATGTGATGTAGCAACCATACAGCTGTCTTTTCATGGCCATAAAGATAATATTAAATTTTTTGTCTGTACAAATAATCTTATACTTAGTGGTGGCGAAGGATATATTGATTTCCGTATCAACAACAGTAATGATGTCAGTTGTTCATTATCGAAAGGTGATCGTTCACATTTAATTGTTTGGGAAATAAACGCCTGAAAAAAATAATACATCTTAAATTTATTTTGAACATTTGATTTTTTTTAATAATTATCACTGTTTGTTTGTTTGTATATAATTATAGATAAAATTTTCTATTCATTTTTTTTCATATTTTTGATTTCATTTATTTTAGATTCTTTACTTTTTTTTCATTTCATTATATTTGTGTTTTGTTTGTTTTTTTGCACTTGTTTTCAATCATTTGCGTTTGTTTATGTTTTAATTCTATTACAATAATGATGATTATTTTAATCATAATTTTTTTTTCTTACAACAAGAAAATCTTTGATAACACTTTCACACATATGATGAAGTTTGTCAAAAAAAGAAAAAGAAATAAAGAAAATCCAATAATTTTGTCAATCTTTCATGTTTGGGTCGAAAACCAAAATTCATTCGATTTTTTTACAAATAAAGAAAAAACAAATTTCGTTTGTTTATCATCTGATGAGGTGTTTTTTTGTTGTTGTTGGTTATTTATGTTTGTTCAAAATTTATTCATCCAAATTAGTCAAATCGTACATCATTAATTGCATTTCTTTAATATTATATCTCATTGACATTGGGTTATATAGCTGTTTTAATTAATCAAACTTGTTGATTGATTGATCTAATCGAATGTTTCTTTCTTTCTTCGATATCTTCATTGAAATTTGATTGATATGATTTGCTACTGTTCATGCGTATGTAATATAAAAACATTTCGAATGATTTTCTGATGAAAATATAAAATAAAAAAATATTGATCAACTTTCATTAAATTATGATGAAATTGAAAATGTGAATTGTCGAAACATGTATCTTGTGTTGTTAATGTTGTGTTGGAAAATAAAATATTCAATTAGAATTTTATGAAAAAGAATCGCGATTTGAAAATTATTGTATTTGTTTTTGTTCAAAAGATAAATCAACAAAAAACAAACAACGAAATTTGCATGATCATCATTGAATGATTAGACCATTTATTTGAACTAATTTTTTTTGAACACTTTGAATTGCAAATTTTTTCCATAATTTGTCGTTCCAGCAACCCTTGTTTTTTTAATGACGTATAAATATTTTTTTTCCTTGATGATTGAAAAAATATATATTTAGATCTATCATAATCATAATCAGGCAATTGAATCAATACTCAAACAAACAAACAAAAATATGAAGTGATACTATGGACAATAACTATAGAAATAATAGGCTTAAAAATAATGGTCGCCAAGGAAGAGCTGGATTATCGACATCTAAAATGGTATTAAATCGACAAAATCAAATGTCCGTCCTCGAGCACCATCATCATCATCACGATTATAATACATCATTAGCTAAATCAACACCGACCACACTGTCAGCAAAATATACTCCGCATATAGCAACAACGGTGAATCGAGATTGTTGCAGTAGCGGCTCATCAGGTTCTAAAACAGCTACAACAGCCACAACCAATGCAGTGAGTTTGTTTCGTGAAATCAAAAATTCCAATCATATAAACAAATCAAAATTCAATCATCATCAACAATTATTAAATTATAAAACATTATCATTAATTGATTCTAGATTAGTCAATAAGAATCATTTTCATTTTTCTTCACCTGAATCATCATCAGCATCAAAAAAAATTTTCTATCTCAGTAAATCATATCGTTCAACAAATTCCGACAAAATTGATCGCTTTGGTTTAATTAACGATTTGCCTGATGCTGAATCATCTTTCAAAAATTCATATCATTACGACGAATCAAAACAAATATCCTCATCATCACCATTATTGAAAAATTTTAATGATATTGATGATAGTGAAAACGGTGATAGTGATCAACATCATCATCAACAACAACAAACAACTAATAATAAACAAGTATCTAAGCGAATTGAACAATTAATCAATACAATATTTCAGAATTTCTGGTCATTACCTACATTTACTAGTGCAAATAGTAATAATCAACAACAGCAACGAACAACAACGGTGTCGTCAGTATCATCTGAAGAAAGTGGTCTCGGATCGACCGAATCTGCAGCCCTGCTAAGAGGTGTTAGTGGATCGGGTGGATCACGAGTGACCACAGGAATACACGGCATTAATAGTTCATCGGCTGCAACAATACGTATTGATCCATATGATTCATTAGCTACCACAAGCCGAAATCGTGTTCCTGAAATCAATGATTATCCGATCTTTAACGGCCGAAATAAATCACGATCAACAACGAGAAAATTTTTTCAAATTTTATTTTGCGGTCTTTGCATGGCCTGGTCTGAATGTTTTAGCAGGATATTTCGTTTTATCCTGCGAAAAAAATCCCTTAAACCACGTATCGTACATCTTCAATCATCGGAAGATCGATATCGTAAAAATGAATTTCCACCAAATATTGTCCGTAATCAAAAATATACCATCCTGACATTTTTACCAATAGTGTTGTTCAATCAGTTTAAATTTTTTCTAAATCTATATTTTCTTCTGATGGCATGTTCGCAATTCATACCGGCATTAGCAGTAGGTCCAATTTTTACCTATTGGGCACCACTTGGTTTTGTACTTGGTGTCACGCTTATACGTGAAATGATCGATGATCTATTACGATATAAACGTGACAAAGCAGTGAATAGTCAATTCTATATAAAATTAACAAGTATAAATGGGATGCAAGCAATACCAAGTGCCAAGATTCGTGTTGGTGATATTATACAAGTAGGAAAAGATCAACGGGTGCCTGCTGATATGATATTTTTACGTACATCGGAAAAAAATGGTGCCTGTTTTATACGTACAGATCAATTAGATGGAGAAACTGATTGGAAATTACGACTAGCATTGAATACTACACAAGAATTAGATAATAATGAAGATATTTTCGAATTGGATGCTGTCGTTACTGTTGAAGAACCAAAACGTGATATTCATAGTTTTATGGGTAAATTTGTCAACAATTCCAGTAAGTATTTTTCATGTTGACAAAAATGGCACTAATTTTTTTTAAATTATTAGATGGAAAAGAAGTGCCTCTATCGATTGAGAATACATTCTGGGCCAATACGGTGGTGGCGTCTGGCACAGCCATTGGTATTGTCATTTACACCGGTCCCGAAACTCGATCAATGATGAACAATAATGAACCACGTAGTAAAGTGGGCCTTTTGGATTATGAAGTCAATGAGCTAACTAAATTATTATTTGGTGCTGTTGTTATATTGGCATTTGCAATGATCTGTCTCAAAGGATTCTCTGGATTTTGGTACATCTATTGGTTTCGCTATGTACTTTTATTCAGTTATATCATTCCAATAAGTTTACGTGTCAATCTAGAAATGGGACGTGTTGTTTATTGTCAAATGATTCAACGTGACATGGAAATTAATGGTACATTGGCAAGAACGACAACCATACCCGAAGATCTAGGTCGTATCGCATATCTACTCACTGATAAAACCGGAACCTTGACCAAAAATGAAATGATATTCAAAAAAATACATTTTGGTCGAATATCATATAACCAAGAATATTTTGATGAAGTGACAGCCATATTACGTGCTTATTATAATCCAGCGCAGATAACCAATAGTGGTGCTCAAACTGGACAACCAGTATCGAATTATCAGACACATCGTCGCGAAAGTTCTACGGCATCAACTTCAAGTTTTACATTCGAAAGACGCCGTTGTCATATGCGTATCGATTCGTATGAAATTGATCGCGAAATCGTTTACCGTGTACAACAATCAGTGTTGGCAATTGCCTTATGCCATAATGTGACACCAGCCTACGAAAATCAATTCGAGACTGATGGTAAGAATGTTTCGGATTTCAATCAAGGTAAAACATTGTTCGAATTCACCTGAATAATCGATATTAATTCCAATCTCATAATTAAATAGATCATAATTCAATCAGTATACCAATGAAAGATGTGGGCATTATGTATCATGCATCCAGTCCTGATGAAGTAGCGCTTGTACAATGGACGGAAAAAGTCGGAATCACTTTGATTTTTCGTGATATTAAAAATATTAAGCTAAAAAATCCGTTCGGTCAAATAATGAATTTTGAGATACTGGAAATATTTCCTTTTTCTTCCGAAACGAAACGGATGGGCATCATTGTTAGAGATCTGAATACAAAAGAAATTGTTTTCTATTTGAAGGGTGCCGATACGGTCATGTCATCAATCATCACTTACAGTGATTGGCTACAAGAACAATGTGATAATATGGCCAGATCCGGTTTACGTACATTGGTTGTGGCTAAAAAAATTTTAGATGATGATCAATTTCAAGATTTTCAAGATCGTTATAATCAAGCCAAATGTAATATGAATGATCGCAGTGCACGGATAAAGGCCGTATTGGCATCGTTGGAAAAGGATATGGAACTATTGTGCCTTACAGGTAAATTGTTATTTTTGATGTATAATATTTTTTTAACTCAATGGCTATTGAATGATTTAACCTTGGTTTCTTAAATTTTTCTTACACTTGAAAAAAATATTCAATTAGGAGTTGAAGATCGATTGCAGGATGGTGTGGCAACAACATTAAAAGGTCTCCAAGATGCCGGAATCAAGCTATGGATGTTGACAGGGGATAAACTTGAAACAGCGATTTCCATAGCAAAATCATCACAATTGGTTAAAAAAATGCAGGAATTTTATGTATTCAGACCTGTGACAAGTCGAACTGAAGTACATTTAGAATTGAATAATTTTCATCGCAAAAGTGATTGCCCTTTGGTAATACGTGGAGAAGATCTTGAGTTGTGTATGAAATTTTATTCAGCTGAATTCATGGACCTTGCTACACAATGTCCTGCTGTTGTTTGTTGTCGATGTTCGCCAACACAAAAGGCCGAAGTTGTCAAAATGATACAGATGCGTACAGGAAAACGAACGTGCGCCGTTGGTGATGGTGGCAATGATGTTTCAATGATACAAACAGCAAATGTAGGCATTGGTATTGTGGGAAAAGAAGGTCAACAAGCATCATTGGCCGCTGATTTTTCAATACTTCAGTTTTCCAATATATATCGATTAATTCTTCTTCATGGCCGTTATTCTTATAAACGTTCAG